ATGTGGAGAAGAGGACACTGCATTTTGTAGGCACCACGCAGACATCGAGCAACAATTGCCAGGGGATCTGACCGGGCTGGCACGATGCCAGCAAAGGTCCACCAATACATAAGGAGGACCATGTACAGACCTGTCACAGGTGCAATGTAGCCGCATAGAATAAAGCATGCGAGACAGCTGAGGGCTGCATGCGGTGGACGCTTTTTCATATATGCAGAGGAGGCATTTGAGGCCGTCATAGGTGCATGCGATAGCGAAGCATCCGCAACATCTGTACTCGAAGAAGCATTCTGCTGCTGCTGTGCGCGTGCACGCTGTATAACACTGTGTCTCCTGCTAGCCGCGGATCGTTGCATCTCCTGAAGTTGATCGAAGCGGAGCTCCATGATTTCCTCCTGTGGGTCGGCACCGGCAGCTGTGGATGGGACTTTGCTCTGGGGCTTGCTCGAAGGACCCAATGCTGCAGCATTTTTCCCAGCGGCTTCATCCTGGCGCGAGGTTGTCATAGTCGGAAGAGGAGTCATACTGGCCACAGGGTTTGCTGAGGTTGTGGTCGTTCGAGCAGATCCCTCGGAAGCACCATCCTTGGCAGGCTCGCGGGCACCTGCTCTGGCCTTTTGGCGTCTTTTCCAGGGGGCTGAAGTCAGCACTGCATCAGCGGCTTGACGGCGTAGATCATCATGTTTGGCTCGAGTGTCCTTTTGACCAGGAGCAGAAGTCTCCTCCGGGTTGTCCGTAGCATTTGCATCTGGCCTTCGGGGACGAGCTTTGGACTGGACTTTGAGACCGCATCTGCCCACCTGCACCGCCTTGTTCACCATCTTGGGGGGTCGCCTTGTCTGAGTACTGACCGATATACCACTGGCAGTTTCGCGTAGACACCTTGGTGGCGTAGGAGGTCTCCTGGAGCTTCCCGTCCCGGGAGTAGAGGATGGGCTACGAGCACGAAGTCCAGTTTGTTTAATAAGGACCCCGTCCGAGAATTCACTGACCACTATACTGGATGCAACTGGTCCACGAGCCGGCGGATCATTGTATGGTGTACTTGCCACGGCTGCATGCTCTGGGACATCAGCGGGTTTGCTTGTCATTGACTTGGCCTGTAGCTGCCGATGTCGTGGCAAAGGTTCACGTGGCCTGAGCTCACCGGCTGATGCACTGGCGGAGGCACCAGCAGTGGTGCGAGTCATCGGCGAAGAGGGAGTCTGATCTTGCCGGTCGGAGGCCTGCATAGGTCGACGTCTTGGCAGTGCATCTCTGACCTTAGCCCTCTTCGCCAAAGGTTCCACTATGTCGGCAGAGTCATGAGGCTTCGGAGCGCCGCGAGAATCTCTCCCCATGCTTGCAAGTACCACGCAAAATGGTTCAACTTTGCTCGTTAAGGCTACACGGAATAAGTATGGCCAGCACCGCCATCTGTGTTCCGAAATGACATATATCACAGAATGCAGGAATCGACAATATCGTTGTAGGGCCTGATTGTGTACATACTGGCCATAGCAACCGCTGTAATCCCAGAGGCAAACAGCAAAATGCAAGTCGGAACGTATAGGTGCGAGGGCTTGCACACCGCGAGTCACATCTGACCATTGTGAGTGCTGAAGCAGTCGAGCCTGCTGGCGTCGGCTGATAGAATCGGCTTTGCACAGACCTGGGCAGTGAGCAATGGACAACAGCACAGTGAAGAAGGTAGTCACAGGGTGTGGGCCAGGGTCCGTAATCATAGGCATCCTCAGACCTTGAGGTGGGACACTTGCTGGGACACTGAGGCCTGTGAATACAGCACATGATGAAAGATCGAGCCTGCCCCGGACCAGTGTAGGCCAAAGCCACACCTGAGAGATTCGCCGACCTGGGTGATCGCATGTGGGTGACAGAGACACTCGTTGTGGCCCGGTAGAGAAATGGGCACAAGGCCCAGATCGTTGCACAGACCGGTGTGAAGGCTGATGCAGAACCAGCATAGGACCTAAGTACGTGTGTGCGGAGTGCCGCGCATTTGCTGAAGCCTCAATCTGAAAGTATCCAGCTGGAATAGCAGACAGTAAACACCACCACCATCGCCTGATTGTCGGAAAGCAATGGCTCATACGACCTGGCAGGGTAGCATATCGAAAAGGCAGCAATGATTGTATAGGAATCAAACAGAAGGTGCAGGAGCGTGTCAAGAACCGTAGCAGCGATTTTTCTGTACGTCGGCCGATACCTTCATATAGAGTAGAGCCCACTGCAACGGGCCGCATGTACATACTAATCTGGACACAGCCAAGGACTTTTGCCAAACCGCGCCAAATAAGACTCTTGATAAGTCTGCCCAAACTGTCGCTGCCACTCTTCTTGAAACCTGCCCGGAGTCGTAGCCTCACAGCTGAAAACCAATACCCATAAGCTCTCGCCGTGTCGTCCTGCCATGCGGAGATCATGCGTGGCCAGGTCGGGACGGTGCATTGTATCCGCATCTGCCAGGCGTTTTTGGTACATGGAGTGTGAGAAAGCTCGAACCTCACAATCGGCAATGGGCGGACCTGATAAGCGAGAGACTCCATCCATGTACACTGGGTCTTGCATGTAGTGCATAGTGGAGTGACGTGCAGCAGTCTCGCCGTCAGAGACGGAGAGAAACCAACAGGCCCATGCACCGGCAGATGGAGGTTACTTCCGACTAGGGGTCGATCGGCAACAGTTACAGCACCACAGAACGTATGTACGTACGTATCGATATATTGCAATGACCATGAATACGCCCAGCATATTGCCGGTTGTGGTAGAGCTCGCAGCTGCATTGGAACACAGAAACTGATCATGCACGGCACATCAAGAGCTGCAGGCAGGCGAGAAATGCAAGAAATGCGTCCCGGTTGGGGCCTTGGCCAGAGATCGCGAAGACACCGGCAGAAGTCATGCATAAGGCTTTGACCTGAGCCACAACATAAGGGAGCACAGACCGGAATAGCATCCAATACATGCGCCCACCATTTCGTAGTTGTGTACCGTCGAGTATGTAGGCCATCATCCGACCTGAAGCACAGCAGAGCCCAGACAGTCATTGGAAGGTTACAAGGCACTGACCAAGGCTGAAGGAAATGTTGGATCTGCCGAATCCGCTGATGGCCTGATCGCGAGCATAAGGAGAGCTGTACTGTAGCAAATACCATGTCTCTGCCAGAGCATGCCTGATGAGCTGACGATATGTACCACCACCTGTTTGCAAGAGGCCAGAAATTCAAGGTCGACTCCAATAATGGCAGAGGGAACGGCCACCTCATTCCGGTTCGTGGTAGAGCATGGTTGCCGTCGTCCGGCCTGATACATAGTGAAGCTGATGACCATGATGCTGGAGAAGAATCATAGGGCGCTGACCAAATCGGAGGCTGATGTGGTTGCTGCAGTCTACCTGATCGAATACATGGCTGCTGCCTTGTTGTATGGGAGTCCAGTATCGAAGAATAGCTGGCCTGGGGAACATCGCAAAGAAACGTCGGCAAGCTGCACAGTACCAAAGCAGTCAATGGCAATGACCACATATTGTTCACTGCACCAATGTAGTCGGGTGATGTGCAAGCTGTAAACGTTCCAAAAAGGCACTGTATACGTCAGGATAGTGTACTGCGGTCCAGCTTGTCAGTTGTAATGCAGACGGCCGCGGAAGGACTTCAATAGCCCACTCCAAGGTGTCAAGCGCTGGCAGGTCTGCCCAGATCAGTGTAGCCAGTTGCAAAATTTGCGCAGAAAATGGCGAAAATACAAGCTCGTCTGCCAATAAATCAAGCGCAAAAGCCCGGATATGCAGTGCAGAAGACAGCGGAATTTTGTAAAACCGTGGGCCAGCCAAAGAAGCAGCAAGCCACTGACCAGTTTGAAAAGAGACCGCGGCCAAATCGCACTTTACCGGAAAAAGAGAACAGGGGGTCCAACAACGCGCGCCCCACAGTCCCTATGGCAACGAGACACCGGACAGCCGATGCCTCCTACCCCGCCCCTACCTACCCCACCCACACTCACAGAAAACAACGCTAGAGCCGAGAAGCTTCCTGCTTGCAGTACCGCATGGAGGGGCCATGTGGATCCAAGCGACATGGTATTCTGAGCAAATGCGCCGCAAGAATGACCACGTGCTGGCGAGGCGGAGATCAAGCTGCAGAGCATGTACACATGAGCGTTGTTTGCTGTGATGCCAATCGATTGGCACAACAGTGTAGCCTGCCTCCTTGGAGACATAAGACAGCATAGCCGACCCGCTACAAATCTCTAAGAACAAAGGCTTTTCATGCCGCGAAGGCGACACCTTGGCATCCTGGGATTTCAAGCGTTTACAAGGCGGGTCGGCGGGCGGGGGGAGACTAGAACCCAAAGGGACGGAGACCGAAGGGCTAGACCCAGAAGTGGCAGGCTGGGGCGGAGACTGCGCGCCAGTAGACTGCGAAGTCACAGCGGAGGATCCACACGGAAAGCCCAACGGGAGCAACTCGGAAGGTTGCCCACCTGAAAGACTATAAAGTATAAAGTGTCACGACCCATCGCTCGCCTGTGTAAGGCATTGTCTTATGCCACCACAAGTCGCAAGAAAAACTAGTGGGGTTGCAAAAATTGTCCACGACTCTGCCCCGGATCTGCCCGCCTGTCAAAGCACAAGTGCTTTGACGGCTGAATTCAGCTGCTGGACAAACTCTCGCATCTGCAGCGTGGCGTTTGTAAGAAGATGGGGGACAGCTGGCTCTGGGCCCGAAGTTGTAGTACCCCGACTGCGTGGGGTTCGCCGAAGAAACAGACTTGCGTTGCAGCACAGAGTCGGGCCAATTGGCGCTTCGAAGCAATTGCAAAAGTGAAGAAAACTTGTTCGAATCCATACTAGCACTCTGCTGACACGGATCAAGAACTGCTGAAGGAGAACTGTTCGGCGCAGGCGGAGCCTGCGGTGGTGCAAAACTTTGCCCAGCCAAGCCTGGGCTGTCTCGACTCTGAGTCGAGAACTGCGAGCTGCCGGGCTCGCTCTTCGACTGTCACTCTTGCTTTTGGCTGAGAGCCTCAGCACGCATCGGACAGTCCAGTGCAGGATGCGATTTGCCGCACTTGGGCCATGCGCAGATGTGCAATCCGCGCACGCAGCGACCACGAGTCACAGTTTCCCTGCACGTTTTGAGTCCATACCCAAAACATATGTTTTCACCTGCATTGGTGCAAGATCTGCAGCCCGCAAGAGCGGCAGGAACTTTCCCGCTGCCTTTGGTGCCCTTGGCACCTTTCCCTGTGCCCTTCCGGCCTTTGCCCGGACGATCATACGGGCCCGGCCCGTGCGGCCTCGGCGGCGGTGCCACCTGCTGCGTGACTGAATCGCCTGCTGCCCGAGGCATCGGCTGAAGCAGATGAAGCACCTCTGGTGACTGCCACGTGCTCTCGAAGATGGTGTCCAATGGACGCCCCCCAGCTTTGAGCTGGATGCCTGAGCGAGTCGCTTCTCCGAGAAGCTGCCAAAGCTTCCTATCAGCCTGCTGACACTGATCAAGTGTGGGCTGCATGTGCGTCGACGGAGGTGCGTCGAGGCGCGCTGCAAGAAGGCGCTCGACCCACATGTGGTGACGATGGTAGTCAAGGATGTTCGCCATTTCCATAGCGATGCCGCGCCTCTGAAGCGCGAGCTGCAAGAGCAGCTCCGTGCTAGTGTCGGCACGGACCTCAACCTTCGTCTCCGACCGGAGCTTGCCCGTACTGTCCAGCGAGAAGAAAGGCTCTCGCTTTGCCCCTGTTGAGGCCTCTTGTTCTTTGGAAACAAGCTTCTCCCACGGGACAAACTGCAACTTGTCCTGCTCATACTGCGACACGAAGGAGTCGACGAGGCTATCAGCAGGCTCAAGACGATTCTTGATCGAAAGGCCCACAAGGCGTTTGCTCACTACCTCGAACCGCTCGGATCTCTCTGGGACGCTCAATTTTCTTGGGATGGATTCATCCGTCCGCTCCACAAGCATCTTCATTTCCGAAGTGGTAACAGCATATGCTTCATGAAATAACCTTCGGAAGGAGCTTTTCTGCCCTACAGAGGGCGGCGTCCCGAGGGCCGACTCGAACGCCGCGATGAGGTCCTTGTCATCGCCAGAGCCCGGCGTGTAGCTCGTCATGAAAGCGACCTTTGCGAGTGAATCCACACCCACCTTCTCGAGTTTTTCGACATCCGCAGATGCCAAACCGACCTGGGCACATCGTGATTTGAACACTGGCCCCGACTCGGAGAAGGCCGCCATGGTGTGCCGCTTGGACCACTACGAGCTGAAGCAGCTGCAGGAGGGCTTTGCTCTGCATCAAATCGTTCTCTTGCAGGACACGACACCCTCCAGATCTCTGCTCTTGCACGATACCCTTAATGACAGCACTTGACCGGCTTGTGGAGCGCACGTGCACGGCATCACCATTTTGCACAAAATTGCAGACACGAGCCGGATGCAGAGTCATGTGCCCTGCTGCACAATCAAGTACTTCCTGAAGCACTGCTTGCACCTTGGATGCAAAATTGCGGGTCGCGCCTCCAGCTCCCTGTACTGACCCGAAATGGCCCTACCGCAGCCCAGGTTGGCACCGGCTTCGTCGGCAGTGATGTGCACTACCCTGGATTGGCGATGCCGAAAGAAGACACAAGAGGGATCAATCTTGTCGAGATCGACCTTCCCATGCCAGTCCAAAGCCTCAGCAGCACAAGCCTCGTCTCCCGAGTGGTCAATCTCCTCCTCGTCCTCGGAGCCCTCAGAGTCTGACGACTCGATCTCATCGCCAGGGGGGTCGGCAGTTGCCGACAGCTCGGAAGCAAGTTGCTGCCCCCTTGGTTTGTCAGGCTTGAAAGTCCCGGACGAGACCTCGTCGATCATAGATGACAAAGCCCTGAGCGGAGCCGACTGGGCATCGGACTCATAGATCAGCTCTGATCCCGCACCCGAGGCTCGGGACGTATGATACCCCAAGAGGGCCCTCTGTTCTCTGGGCAGACCACGCTTGCTTGCCCAACTCAGCAAAGTTCTCTTAAGGCTATGTGTTCCCACATTCGCAAGGTAGGGATCGCTCTGAGCGTTCCCCAGCAGGCTCCTGAGCCACGAGCACGCCTGATCGCACGGAAGCGGGACCATCTTCCAAGAACCATTCGAGGAAGGGCAGGGGAGCAGCGGGTCGTTCTTCTTGATCGTAAGACCCGCTTCTGCCATAGCCTCAAGCCAAGCATCGGCCCATGCACAACTGACGCCCACCTTCCTGGCAGCCATCGGCAAGTACCTGGTCTTGCGTTCCAAAGTGAAACTCGTCTTGGACCTGCCCACACTGCACTCCAAGTAGAGCGGCGAGTCAGTCAGCGATGCTACATTTTGCCCGTCACTGTATCTAGCTCTTGCATAGATCAAGAAAAGAAAGAAGCCTGCAGCGATGCGGTCCTGCAAAGACCTGTTCTCAAGCTTGCAGCAAATCCTTTCAAAAAGAATGACATCGGAGACCCTGAGGGGATTCCGCTGCTTGAGCTTCCTCTTCTGCATGAAAAGCTTCGACGCAAGGCCGCGGACGCGACCCGAAGTGTAAACCTTGTCACACCCTTCCAGGCCCACCACATGCTGAGCAAAAGCAACGGAAGAAAGAAGGCTCCTGAACGATGTCGCGGCTGCTGTCGATTTCTTCTCCTCGAAGTATGCATATACAGCGTGCTCGGTCAAGGGAAAAACAAACGGCATGTTCCCCTTTGCCCAAGAAACAAACCGCAACAAGCAATTAGCCCTGGCATTGATCGTCGAAGTGGCCTTGGCAGCAAGGCAATCCGAAATGCTGTCAGCAAGTGATCCCGAAGAGATCCCCGACGCCTTGCCGGCGTAGAAGTTCCTAGCTACACCGAAGGTCAAGGGCTCGACCATGACCAGGCTGAGCCACTTATTCACGGCAAGATTTCTTTCCTCGTTGATCATAACCTCCCAAGAAGTGTGTTTGAACTTGGCCATCTTGGCACACACCTGTTCAAGCCCTTCCGACCTCACGAAGCGAGGGATCGGCACGGCCGGCTGATCAGCAGAGGGGCTCACTGGGACTACAAGGGGCAGAGGTCCAAGAGGAGGCGGCAGGCGGGGCTTAGGGTCATGGGCCAAAAACGAGTTCCCCCAAGGAGTCTTCCACACTGACTTGGAGTCTCGCAAGCAAGATCTAAGATGAAGGCCAAAACTGGATGCAAGGGAGCCTCCTTCATCCCCCATTTCACTACGGCTCCCTCAAGCAGACTGCTCGCGCGGTTCAAGAAAGGCTCTGCAGGCGTTGCGCAATCCCTGGATGATCCCCTCAAGCCACGAGAGGCGTTGGTGATGACCCGTCTGGTTCACCCAGACGCGCGCAAGGGACTCCTCCAAAGTCTGCAAATCGGACCTGAGGGCTTGAACTTGAAGCCTCAGGGCGTTGACCTCCAATTGGAGATCGTAAATGTGCTGACTGTGAAGCTCGCGAGTGCTAGTGGAGCTGTCCTCGGAGCGATGAGAAGACCCGTCGGCGAGCGCGTCGCCGAAGTCCATCTGACGCCCCGCACGTTTAGCGGGGAGTCGTGACGCCCTAAAGCAAGCACTTAAGGGGCCTGAGACCTGCTAGGACGCCGTTACAAGCCCCTAGCGGAGTCCCGATCAAAAATTTCTGGCTCGATCTCGAGACAGCTTCGATGGTTGCAGATCCAATCGTGACCAGGTGTCCGTTTTATCGCACGGTTTAAAAATCGTTGCTCGACAGGAGAAACGAAATCATGCAACAGCGATTGAAAGTTGTTAAAAGTCTGGATTGTAAAGCACTACTAAGAGTAGCGCAAAGATTGTCATGGCCCAAAATTTTGCTCCCTACAAAATTTCGTTTGACCTAGGATCTATAAAACATCGACACGCACGCGTGAAGTGATGCAACCGCCTCCAGCCCCAGGAGATGCTGACAGAAGCGAGAGCTCGAGTCAGCACTTCCGGAATCGGAGGGCGATGCTGCAAGGGCTCCAATCGCTCCCACCGTGTGACATAGTCCCAAGCCGGTCGCATGATCGGTCGGGCCTGAGGCACGACCAGTTGGGCGTGAGCCAGCAGCTGCCTATAGTAGCACAGCGGGGTGCCAGCGTCGTAAAGGATCTGAGCGTAGATGCACAACATGCTGACCAAAAGTCCAGGAACTTCGAGGGTCGAAGCGACTCCGTCTCGCCCCAGCTCGGACTGAAGGTAAGCAATGAAGGCGGCCCAGTGCTTGTCGCGAACCGCAGCAGTGCGTGGCTCGACCAGCTCCACTTCACTCAGGCAGGCAGGGGTCCGAGGCTGAGAGCGAGCCGGCCCCGGATGAGAAGCCTCACCAATCCGCCCAGCTCCGGCCTTGGCGCAGCGGGAGATGTCCAGGCGCCTGTGTCGGTCAAAGAATCCCACGTCTTGAGCAATCGCAGAACCGACGAGGCGGGCCAGCCTCCGAGGGAAAGGCTCGGCCAACACCGTCCAGGATACACCACGAGCAGAGCAGCGACCGCGAAGTTGCACGTGAGGTCGGGCACAAGCGCATCGAATGCTCTGGCCTCCAAGTTGACCACTGCACCTGAATCTTGTAGACTTTCGCCAGGGAGCTCCAAAGCGGCATGCGTCGGCGAAGAAGTCCTCATACCGCCTCGCCAGGCTGGCCCAGCAGGGCTGTTTCCAGAACCACGATTTCACAGGGTTGGAGATCACGAACTCAAGTCCCCGCGCGATGGCGACGTCAGCCAAAAGAACACAGAACTCACAAAGCAGATTGTCCCTGCTTGCGCGGAGCCTATGTTCCACAGGAAGGTCTGCGCGGCCGCACGGCTCAGCGGCGGTCCGCCAGGCTCTGGAGTTAGCAGTCGAGAAGCTTCCCGCGGGAGGATCGGCTGAAAAGCCCAGCACAGCTCCGGAGGCTAGGAGGCGCACCAGAGTAGCCTGCAGCTCCGAGTCCAGAAGGTTTTATTTTCACTTGTGTAAAGTTACCGCGTGGACCTGAACAATGCATGGATGCCATACGGAAAACTATAATTCAATCAGCTGGCATCAATCGAATCATAAGGAGAAATGTTTATCAGGAAAACAAAATTTCTCCAATCTGTACGTTAATCATAATTGCATATCTCAAGAAATCGCAACGCACTCACTCGACAGCACAAGACTTTTCCTCGTAGGTGGCATGGGGAATCCGTCGATGATCTCAGCTAGGGAAAAACTCTTGGACATCCCAAGTGAATGCGGTACATCCCGCTTCCCCCCGGGTGGGTGGGTGGGAGAAAACAAAAATTGCGCTCTACCTCAGAGCACAACGGCAACTGGAATTTCGCATCTTCGCATGGCTCAACAGTTGCATACTAACATGTAAGAGACATTTGAAAACTCCAAGCGTTGATTTTGAAATAAGATTTCAAAATCAAACTTTCCACGTGAAAATAATACCGTACGCAGGCAAGCTGCGATGGTGGCTTATTTTCACTTGTGTAAAGTTACCGCGTGGACCTGAACAATGCATGGATGCCATACGGAAAACTATAATTCAATCAGCTGGCATCAATCGAATCATACGGAGAAATGTTTATCAGGAAAACAAAATTTCTCCAATCTGTATGTTAATCATAATTGCATATCTCAAGAAATCGCAACGCACTCACTCGACAGCACAAGACTTTTCCTCGTAGGTGGCATGGGGAATCCGTCGATGATCTCAGCTAGGGAAAAACTCTTGGACATCCCAAGTGAATGCGGTACATCCCGCTTCCCCCTGAGAACATGTACCCCATTCACCCAAAGACTTCAGGAAGCGCGCGACTCAAGAGATTCACATCAAGATCGACACGTGGTGCACCTCGGATACTGACGCCACGCGAGGGGTCGTCTGCAGGATTAGAAGAGGATGGCACACGATCTAGCCAGCAGATCGTTTCAAGGCTCTCTTCGCAGCAAGCAAAGAAGTCGATCAAGGCAGCACAAGAAGCATTGTCACTATGGCCTCTGACGAAGCTTCCGAACACGCCCTCATTGTCAGTGAAAATGACCACACCTTTCCTCTCGACGTAAGGGCGAAAGGCCTCGAGGCAGATGCTGAGCACAAGCGCCTCGAGCTCGAAAATCACTGTCTCTCTTTCGCGGTCACCAGCTTTCAAAAGCTTCTGCACATGTACTGGCGCAACAGCTTGACCAAACCAGCACAACGCCTCACCAGAAGAGTTGAAGACTACTCCCCCCAAACCACAATGGCCGTTTGGCTCGAAGGAAGCATCCACATACACATGGACAAAGTCTTCACGTCGCGCCCTGACTGGACGTGGCTTGGAACTTTCAAGGAAACTTTTCAGCTGAGTGAGTGCGAGCCGCGTGAGTTGGTTAACGTCCCATCTGCGTTGCCTGGAGTGCTGCGACAACAACTTCAGAGCCGCCTTTGGTCGCCGACCAAAAATTTGGCAACAGGCGAACTGCAACCGGCCCCTTAGCTTTTCACTTTCTTTAGGTTCAAGCTTCCCGGTTGCCAAAGCCCGCTCAATGTCACACAACGCCTCAGTCCGCCTCTTCACGGTGTTCTCCAAGTAAGCCAAACCGAGCTTGGCATCACGAAGGTTCACTTGCACTCCTAGGACGACGCAAAGTGCATCGTAGTTGAGCTCCTTGTCCTTCGAGATCTCCCACCCCAGCAGTTGGAAGAACATGGAGATTACAAAGTCGTTATGCCGAGCAAAGGCTTTGCCGCAAAGGTTCAAGTAGTCGTCAAAATATTCACTCCAGACAAGAGTCAACCCTACGGCACCTAATTTCCAAATGGCGTAAGCCGTTCTTATGAAGCTGGTCACACTGGCCGTTGAGCCGAAGGGAAGCACTCGCTGGCGATAGATTTCGCTCGCCCCACGCTCAATGTTGAAGAGCACAAAGAAACTATCTAAGGCATAAGCCAAATCCGAAAGGGGGAGTTGTTTATAGGCGGTACGCAGATCCCACGCCTTGCACACTGGCGTGCTGTGCTCTGGGCGCCCGCTGATGAACCACTCATTCAACCACCAGGCCAGCATCCCGGCCACCACGTCAATGGTGTGCACGCTGACTTGCTCAACCTGCGTGACTGCAGCATTTACTTGAGAAGACAGGTAATTATCTATGGGCCTCACCTTTGGACCTTCTTCATTGCTCCCCTGAATGACTCCGAAGCGATGCGTCAAGGACGCATCTTCAGGGATCTGGTCTGGAGACAAAGGTCCATCAACGAAGCCGCGCTCAAGTTCTTTCATCGTCGCTTTAAGAACACCTTGGTCAATCACAGGATCCTCCGAAGCTTTGATCGTGGCCAGGAGACCATCACGCAGTCTCTTAGCGCTGGATCGAAGCTGAGATTCACTCTGCTCCGCAGGACGAAAGCGCTTAGCGAAAACATTCGATCTAGGCAGCTTGCCCGTCAAGTCAAACCCATGAGCAATGTCTTTGACAAGGTCAACGTCCTCATGTCCCACTTCAAGCAACAGCTCCTCGAAAAGAGCGAGGCGTTTAGGACTAAGAACATCCTTTCGAAACTGAGGAAGATCAGCCTTTAGCGCGCGCTCGGCTGGCTCTAAATCGGCTGCTCTGCTAACCCACCGGCGAAGTGTTGCGGTGCGCTCCTTGGCCACATTGGCCTCACCTTCTTTATGGATTCTCCGGACGGCACAGGAGATCTCGGAGGGCATGAGGGCGGAGAGCTGCGTGGGGTGCCCAACCTTGATTGCCTGTTCAACAAACTGTGATGGTGTGCGGTACACACCAATGACAGCCTTAGTCACGTCCCCAGGCGAGACTTGGGACCCCGAGGTCGCTCGATCAAGCACAAATCCCAGGCTCGTCAAGAAAGAGGCGTGCTCAGCTTTAAGGTTCTTAGGCCCCCTCGGCATGTACGCAACAATAACGTCACGCCGGCCTGTCCAAGGCCTGGTGCAATGAAGGCGACGGCCATCGAACCTGAAGCCTTCATGAGTGACGGGGATGCAAACACCTCTCACTGTGCGACCTTTGATTTCAAGCTCGACGTCACCCGCAGGATCTTCCATCCACAGGGAGCCATCAGAAAAATCTGATAGCGCAGCAATTGCATTGTCTGTGGAGACTTCATTATTCGAGTCCCGATGTGGCTGAGCTGACACATCCCTGAACATCCCAACAGTTCCGAACTCCAAACCTGGAAAAAGGCCCTTGACATAAGAGCACATTGCTTTCACAGTTTCCGGGAACTGTTTGGTCGTTGATCGCACCCCGCACATCGGGCCGTGAACAAAGCTGCCACCTTGGAACGATTTCGCTCCAGCATCGCCATCCCAGCGAAGAGGTTCTGAAGGAAGCAAGTCAAGCAACAGGGACAAGTCTTTGCGGTGTACCTTAGGCAACTTGTTTATAAGCGAAGCCACCCGCTCAGCAGAGCCCGACATCATGGCTTCTCGAACCTCGGTATCGTCAGGATTCAGTCCGAGAGACGCCTCAGGACATCCAAGAACATTAGCAAAAGGACGCTTTCTGCTAGGAGGCTTCAGCACACTATCCGGCTCAAAACCCTCAGCACCTAACACACGAGGGGCTGCAGGGACTAAACCGGAACCAGGGGAAACAGCCGTGGGACTAGGGCCAACCTCAATCCCCTTGCGCACCACATGGGCACGAAGGACACGGCTACCTGCCGGGAAGCACTCGATTGGCGGAGAACAAGCAGCAGCATCTCCGGGCTTCCACGGAAGGTTGTGGCCAGGGCGCAAGAAAGAAGCGGCAAGATTGGAAGGCACAGTGACAGTGTGAACCGAAGCGAATTCGCTAAGCAGCGGAGGCACGCGCTTGCGAGTTTGGGCTCCAGTGAAGGCACGAGCGCCTTGGATGGCGGGCGCGCCTTCATCAATAGCTTTGGGAGATTGGCGACAGCCAAGTTCCAAAAAGTGATCTTTCAGCAAGCTCGCCATGCATTTGCAGAGGCCCCAGGGGTAGGCCGTCTCAGCGCTTGTTGCCCACGCACGGCCGACCCGGCCCCATCCCAGATGCACATGCTTGCCAGAGCACAAACGATGAAGCTCGCGGAATTTGGGGATGTTATGCACCAGGAGCGTCTCTTTGCGACGCATGCCACCAAACTCACAGTGATGAAAAACAGTTTGGAAAGACGTCCGAGCGCTTCAAGAACTGCTGCCACTGAGGAAGCAGCCAAAGGTAACTGCGTCTCGGATTTTCACAGGAAAAATATTTGCCGTTCAGAAGACAGAAAGAACTTAGCTCAAGAGTCAACTTATACAGCATGTTAGCCTTTTGCACTCTGAGTGCAGGGATCTCCGAAAGATCAGGAACCCCTTCGGGGTGGCTCTCATTGCGGAGGACAGGTGGGGCGCCGGGAAACTGGATGTCACGGGCCCTGCTTGCGGTACCGCAAGGCGGCGCAAAATGAATGAATTTGACAGTGGGATCCTTCAAGATGCTCCACAGATGTGCAGAAGAATCTGCACAAGTAAGGTCAAGCTGAAGGACTGAACAACATGCAGTTTTGCCGACCACATGGTCAACACCGAAGGCATCAAAACCTTCACTACGAAGGGAAGCACTGAGCCGCCCAGTTCCGCAAAAGACCTCCACGGTCACGAGCTCGCTCAAAGGCTGCCCCTCAAGTCGTTGAAGAGCAGCCTCAGCTGCAACAGTTCTGTCTGACGCGGCGAGGCTCTGACATGGAGGACTGGATGACTGTCAGGAGTGGTGCTGCAGGCTATGCGGCTTTAAGCATCCCGGCTCTGCACACAAGTGAAGGCCCTTAGCGCACTTTCCGCCAGGCTTGGCGTCCTTGCAACCGCACGGGAGGTTGAAACCCCAGCACAGACGGTGGCCTTTAGGAGTTTGATGCGCTTTGCCAACAAGCTCTTTCGGGACCGAGAAAGCATACCTCTTCGGAGCCTTCTTAGGGTTCGGAAGGCGAGGATTCGGACGCTTGGTAGGCGGATCGGGCACGTCATCCAACTTTGCAGTTGAGGTTGAACCTGCTGGCAGGGGAAACAAGTGGTAAGCGACTGAAGGGTCGAGCAGGATGTTGGGAAGCTGCTCGTCCAAAGGAAGCTTGCCCGCGCCGCTGCGGCGCAAACTGGGCAACAACTCCGCCAACCTGAGGAATGCCGCTCGATCGGCTCGGAGAACCTGAGCAATAGAGACCTTTGCATAGTTAGGAGGAGGAGCCTCCTGGAGACGTTGAACAAGTGCCTGATGATAGCGGTTAGCCACATCAAAACTCATGAGCCCAACAAGGTCGAATGCAAGCGCTCTGCGGCGCATGGCCAACACCAAGTCTAAGTCAGAGTTGATGGCACAGTTAAGGACCTGGGGCTTATCTTTTACTGCAACGCCGCTCCCATCTATGACGAGCTCTTTAGAAGGCTTCTTTGCACTGATTTCTGCACGCCGTGTGTTGAACTTCTCAGGCGCCAACCAAATGAGCTCGTTCTTCTGGGCCATCGAGAAGACAAGGTCGTATGCACCATGAGCGACCTCCTCTTCACCTTGAAAGGTCAACCCGCCCAAACGTGTTTTCTGGCTGGCCAGACGATCTTCTCGCTCGGCTATGTCAAGAGTGAGAGGCAAGGACTCCTCAGTGCGCTCCACTTTTTGCTTGAGGGCTGCCACAATCAATGTATGGGCTTCGAAAAGAAGCCGCTTGAGCCCTGCGATAGCTCCCTGACTTGAACCTGCTGGGAGTAGCCCAACGACTGCACTGTCCTCAGGAACCTTCCCAGGAGGAACCAAGACAAAAGCTAACTTCGAGAGAGTGTCAACCTGTTTGGATACAAGATGGTCCACTTCGGCTTGCGCGAGCCCGACCTCCAAAGCCCTCTTAGCGAAAGCAGCCTTGGATAATTCCGTGAAGGACGTCGCCACAGGCAACCCTGCCATTGCACCTAGCAATCTGCCCGGTTCACGAAAATTAAAAATCTTGAGCGCAAAAACACGCAAGTCAGAAATCTGCATATGCTGCCACAGCAAGTTCGACACAACGCTCGATCAAGCCCCCAGGTGCCTCGTGCATCCATTTGGCTCTCCTTTCGCACTCCGCAAAATTTTGCCCGCACTGCACCTCGCAGCTCGAGCCCTCGAACCTCCCGGAGTCCAGGATTGGCTCACTCGAACTGGCCACGAAATCCCTTGGGCTGCACATCGCAGCCCAAGAGGGATGCTCGACTGTTTGACAGAATGAGCTGGGTGCACCTCGCACCCAACCTTGAGTCGGCCGGACTTCCCGACAACCACTCTTTGTGGACCAACTCAGGCCGTGGCATAGAAATCATCGTTTCAAGCTTTTAGCCAACACAGCATTCAAAGATCCGATGTCTCTCAAAGGTTTGCTCTTCTTGCAATTGACACAAAGACGAGTCTCCAGAAAAGCGCTTTGCGTCACCTTTGAGTAATCACCTGTTCTCTTACGACCACAAGTGAACACACCTCCAGAAGCACCAACCGCAATGGAGTGGATGGTCATAGTTTTATCATGTCTCCAAAATTCCATGTCAGGCGCAGTGAGGTTAGACTTCTCAAAGGAACTCCCGAGCCCAGAATCGAAGGCATCGATCCAGTCAGTCCCGGGCTCCCCATCAGAACTGTCCGAGTCGCTCGACGATGAAGAAGACGAAGAACCTGGCGCGGGCTCAGGGGCCCGACTCACAACTCCATCAGCCTCGTCCTCAGCTTCGCCCGTGAATTGATTATCAAGGAAAGACTGAGCCTCTCGTTCAGGCGTCCATGCAGCCTTGCTATAGTGCTGAGCCTCGCCTTCAGACCCAACAGGGGTCTCATCTCCGAAAACCCCACCATCATGCAAGTGAGGAGTGGCCGTGCTGAGCCTGGGCTCATGGCCGAGCTCCATGACATGAGCCTCACCTTCAGCTTTGAATAACCCAGAACGAGTTGCATCTGGAATGAAAAGACCATGCCGAATGCTTCGGAGCATTCCGTCATAAGCTCTCAGTGGTGCCGCAAGCTTGTCTCGCATATAAGCATACATAGACGAACCCTTGAGGGCATGGTGACCAAGAAGGGTTTGAGCTTGCTCGCTGACTCCATATTTGCCGCACCAATCAAGAGTGGTAGCCTTAAGCGAATGCCCTGACACACCATCGGAGCATTTGTTGCATCGGCTGAGTAGCGCACGAAGCCACTGCCCAGCCTCATCTGTGGTCACTGCTCTCTGGCCCCACTCGCCTGACTCCAGTGCTGCTGGAAGAAGCGCCGCACGAGCCGAATCGAACGCTAAACCAACTTCAGCTGCGATTGCCACGAACTTGGGTCCCCAAGGCTCTGGTCCAACACCCCAGACAGGAGCGACTAAAGGCATAGAGACTCCCTGCACGGCTGCTTGCCTGGCGGACTTATGCACCCGAGTACCACATTCAAGAAAACCCTGAATTTCCCCAGCTGCGTCCACAGTGTCCACTATGCACCTGTGGATTTGCTTCACATCACTGACTCGGCTCCTGCTGTAGATGCAAAACAAGAAAGCGCCACAAGCATAACGGTCCTTGGCATCAAGTTCTGCGTTACCCAAGCACGCCTCGAGGAAAGAGACTTGCTCCACATACAAGACAAGTGCACTCACACGCTCTGCCTTCTGCGACTGCATGAGGCCTTTAAGACCAATCGACCAAGGGCTAAAGATTTTGTCGGCAGGACCGCGGCAACTGACTCCTACAACGTGGATCGCGAATCTCACAGATTCAGTGAACCCGTCAACAGCCCCGACTTTAGCCTCACAAGCCCTCAAGTGCCTGACATACTCATCGCATTTTTCAGTAGTAAAAGGGAAGGGGCCTGAAAAAGGCCGACACTCCTGCATGAACTTTACGTACTTGAGCAATGATGCCGAACGCTTACTCACAGTGGCTACCTTCTTCCTCCCAAACAGTTCGCGTAGGGACTGCATGCCATCAGCAGTTCCCATGCCGGCCAAGGAAGAACCCACAAGCGAAACCGAAGGATCTAAGGTCAAAAGAAAATGCCTCAAAAGAAAATGCCACTTCTCAAGAGATCTCTGCCACGCTCCAGCTTCAAGCTCAGCATCCGAAAGGACGTTCTTGAAGTTCACACACCCACGGAAGCAAGGCTGCCCGAAAGCGGCAGTCTTAACCCTCTTTGCAGCCTTGGCCTGTTCCTCAATCGGAGCATCTTCCGCTGTGGGGACTGGGAACACGATTTTGGGAGGCTCAGCAGGCAGAATCTGATCTAAAGCACCCTTGCCAAAAATCAAATTCAAACCCGGCATTTCCCAAGGCAACTGCAGAACCTGCGGCTCACTGCACGAGAAGATTGCTTCGCGAATGGTCTCTTGAAGCTTTGACAAGTCTGGTTCTGAAGCTGCTGCCGTCACATCCATGTTCTCTTGAAGATTGGACAAGTCTGACTCTGAAGCTGCTGCCGTCACACCCCCTGCGCTACCAGAAGCAGCAGCAGAGGCGGACACAACCTGAAACCCGCTGGAAACTTCGGAATCACCATCAGCAGAAGGCCCGCTCATTGCAGCTGGCGACCAAGGCAGCACTGAAAGAAGGACCCAAAGAAACTAAACTGCACCGGCGCAGGCGTCGGAAGAGGAGCCTGCTGCTCCAGGGCCCTGATGCGCCGCTCGCACGCAGCAACGTGCGCTCTCAAGGTGTTGAGATCGAGCTGCAAGCGGTTGAAGAAAACAAAAATTGCGCTCTACCTCAGAGCACAACGGCAACTGGAATTTCGCATCTTCGCATGGCTCAACAGTTGCATACTAACATGTAAGAGACATTTGAAAACTCCAAGCGTTGATTTTGAAATAAGATTTCAAAATCAAACTTTCCACGTGAAAATAATACCGTACGCAGGCAAGCTGCGATGGTGGCTTCCTCAGCGTCATGCCTGCAGTCGAAGCAAAGAACCCACCATGGCGCGGCATCGACGAGGGCCTTCGCAAGGCTTCTAGACCCTGGAAACAAGTCAACCCAACCAGGACCGGACGACAGAGCGGATGGCTCTGGGAGCACGAACCCGAGCTGCACAGCGCTAGCCTGGATCTCTCGGGAGGCCCGGTCAAGCCCGTTGATGCTGTAAGCAACAAGAACATACCTAGAGCCTTGCCAGTCTTCAGTCGCGTGAAGGCGGTGAGGGTCGAAGAGGACCGGCTCGTGACTCAGATCGACAACCTTACCTTCGACTTCGCGGCCATTGACCCGGCGCACGTCAGGGCCGCCCTCGCAACACACCCACAATCCACCACCACGAACCCTAGTCAAACCGAAGATGAGGTTAGGCTCGAGGCTGGAGTTGTTGGCATCGACGTGAGCATCAGCCTTCATGTTCCGGAAAAGTCCTACCGTAGTGAACCTAAACCCAGGCACGAGGCGGCGCACGAAGGCGCACAGGACACGATTTACAACCGGGTGTTCTAAGGCCTAAGGTCGAGCTCCTAAACCCTATGACCCCACCGTGCACAAACATCCCAGTGATGAAGCATTTGGTCCCCGAGCTCGGCTTGCCCCTGGGCGCGCGGTGGCCCGGCAGCAGGCGAAGCAGCTGGACGAGGTCGGACTTCAGCACGTTGGGCGACCTCAACAAGCGGAGAGCGAGGCGTTCGGCAGGCAGCCTGAGCTTCGACTCCGGGCTACGAAAGCGGTCAACACTCGCGAGGGGCACGTCTGGAAAGAGATCACTCACCGGTGGAAGCTCCCTCAGTTGGTCCAAGTGGAACCCCCAACTTTGACAGGTGCACATCCATGGGCCCGAACGAACCTTGGAGGAACTCCTTGAACCAAGCGGGCGGGTCTTCGCAAGGTAGTCTAACTTTCTTAAGCCTAGTATAGGGTCGTCCGCGGGGTTAAGGTGGGTCTTAGCGAAACCATAAGAGGGCCGGGTGTTGTACCCCAAGTGGTCAGGCAAAGACTTGCGGAGGGCGGCGTTGATGCAGCCCGAGGCGCTTCGGCCCTTAACCAAACATGCTAGCGAGACCTGAGAGTCTTGGAGGTGGCAGTACCGCGAAGAAGGCCAGAGGCGGCCAACACGGCTTTCGGCAGCCAAGGCGGCTCGTAGTTCTCCAAGGTTTATGTGTCGCCTTTGTTTAGCCCGCTTGACACGACCGAAAGGCTTGAACGGAAGCACTCGGCAGGCGGTCTCCCAGAGGGAGTGGCTCGTATAAGCTCCGCCCGGCAGTTGTCCTCGTCGGGGAGCTCTCCGCGCTCACGCAGCAGCGCATCAAGGGGCTTGAGCAATCGGCTCCACATACCTTTCTGAAGGCCGTGGCGGCAGCACTCGACGGACACCGAAGGGTGCAGCGGAGTTGACACGGCGGCCTCCAAATTAGAGGAGGCGTCGCTAGCAATCAAGACGGGGGCTGCAGGAGTCCGAAAGTCCATGCATGCCTGAGGAAGGAGGACCATGGCACAGAGCAGCTCGTCCCTGAGCTCGGGACACATGCGAAAGACAGCGCGCGGCGGGAGGCCCCGAGGCTCCGAATAAACCCTGTCCAGCAGAGACATCAAACGTCGGCGGGTCTGAAAGACCGACACAAGTGACCCGGTAAGGATCTCGCGGCAATCAACGGTCTTCAAGAGGAGGGCTCCAAGGGGAACCGTGCGCTTCGGGTTAGGACGAATGGTCCCCTCAATACCATCAAGGAGTCCCCCCCAGAATTCCGCCTTTAGGGCTTGAGACACAGACTTATCAGGATGTCGGGGGAGGCACGCCTGATCATAGGCCCGATGCACGGCCGTCATCACATCAGGAGCCTGGTGCGAGGAGGCCGGAGCGGAGGCTTCGACCTTCTCGAGAACCGCAAGGTCGTCGATCAAGAGACCTGCGATCAGGCCATCACGCGGAGGGCGGCCCGAGAGCGTCACAAATTGCTCCAAAGCAAGGGCCTGCGATCTCAAAAGAACACTCAAATGCGAAGCTTGCCCGAAGCCGACTGCTGAGCAGTCGCCCATAGCCAAAGTTTTGAGGCAAGGGTGCAACGAGTGATGCTCGTGCAGATCAGCGGTGAAGCACTTCAAGTGAGAAAGTTCTTTAGGCGAGAAGCAGACAGCAAGCACATTGCGACAAGACCTCTGAGCCCCGACGATGAAGGCATGATAGAATTCCCGAAGGTCCTCAGTCGATGCAGTGAGGCGTTGGCTGGGCTCTAGGTGAAGCCACTGAAGCTGTTCCAGGGAGGCAAGGGATCTGATCCAGGGCTGATGGAGCTCCTCCGCCTGATTGGCCGCTCTGGCATCCAAAACCATGCGATCCCTAGTGAGGCTCTTCGGCACAGTGAACAACCCGTTGACCAGACGGGCACGCACCCGCGAGGAAGGAAGCAGGGACAGTCGATCACAAGCGTCCAGGACCTCCATGAGCCTAAGGGCGCCGGCTCTGCTGCATTTCATCGGGGAACAGGCTCCTCCTGAGGCACGGACCGAGCAAACTCAAGAGGCCGCTCGTAGACGGCCCGACTGGAGCTATCCAGGTACGGCGCAGGGTCAAATGAAGGAGTACCCACGAAATGAAGCCGGCTGGCATCAACAGGTTGGGCGAGACTCGCAGCCTCAAGACTGAGCTTCCCACAAACCTTAGAAGAGAGCCAGGCAGGGTTAGGGAGGTCGGGGCGACGAGAAGCTTCCTCTGAGCCCCAGCGTGAGAGCTCCTCTAGCATCCGCTCGCAGCTTTCAACTTTAGCAGCGCTTCGGCCCATCTCTTCAGGGCCGACGACAGGCTGGGAGTTCCAGGCCGTGATGCCGCGACCTAGGGTGCGAACAACAGCCCACTGCTCAAGCGAAAGAGGAGTGCCCAAGCCAAGGGGAGCAGCGCTTCCCACGCAAGAAGGCTGGCCGCAGTACAACCAGGAAAGCACAAGCACGGTGGCATTGAGCGCGAGCTTGCGACAGATGTCGGGTTGGCGTCTCCTTGCTTTCGGCAGGTGGAGACTAGGAAAAGGCATGGGCATAGGCCACACACGCCCTTTGGGCCCCGGCAGTTTGCCAGGTGAAGCAATCCGGAGGGAGTGCCAAAAGGTTGCGAGGGGAGATTTCGCTCGCCCAAGCACAGAGAAAAACTGAGTCCAAAGACTGTCGGCACGCACGGGGCTAGCCTGAGAACCGGGAAGATTAGGGGTCTCAGGGGAGCTCAAATTCTTAAACACAGTGGGATTAGTGCAGTCAGGAGGGGCAGCCTTCACTTTGGCGCCTCGCCCCGCGCACGGCCCTTCCCGGGCTTCTCGGGCTTTTCCTTGTCGGGATCGCTCGAGGTCGATGGCTGCCCGCGAGGAGCAGAAAGCTTCTTGCGGGCTTCGATGAAGGATTCCCTTTCTTTGATGCGATGCATCAGGACGCTGATCCAACGAGGATCCATCACCTTGGTCTGGTGGCTTTCGCCTGGTTCGGGAGGTCGATGGCGACTGAAGCTCGAGAAAGGGGGACTCGGCTCGGGCAACATCTCGGCTGCGAGGAGCCAGCTCCCCGAATCTAGGGAACTCTGGTCTGGAGCGGCCAACATTAAACACAGGCGAGCTTTGCACTCTTCTTCGCGTCCCGCGAGCAGCGCGTCGAGGGCCCCCGCCGTTTGCCAGCCCCAGCGGACTGGGCCCGCAAACTGCTGGACCCTGCTCGTGTGTTCCAACCAGGCGCGGGAAGTCATAGGCAGATCCTCGAGCCCCGGTGCAGCAGTATGACCCTGAAAGTCCTCGGTCATGAGGCGAAGGATCGAGGATGATGTCTTTGCAGGATCCTCCTTGAGCAGCCTCGCGAGCTTCAAGTAGGCAGCCGCCTTCGACGAGCCCCCGCTGCTCGAGCTGCTCAGCCCGACCTCCTCGCCGCGATCCAGTAGATCCTCCAGACTCCCGCTGGCTCGAGGCTTCGAGAGGCGGCTGAGGATTTGAGTCATCTTGTGGATAGACTCGGCAACCGACGCCGCCTCCGGCTGCCCCCCGGCGTCGGCGGCGTCCTCTTCCTCCTCCGACTCCGAGAGAACCGTCTTGACCTTCCTTGCACCGTCGCCTAGCTTTACAGGCTTGGCTGCGAGCTGCTGCATGAGACGCAGCTGGTCCTCGGGCACTCCGGCCCCCCTCGCGGCTGCGAGCACGGCAGGATCTAGCCCAGACGCTGCAGGCCCAACCGGAAGAGACTTCGGCTTGGCTGCCAGCTTGGCCTGAGGCTCCGGGGCTTGCGGCGGAGGTGGATCCGCGGCATTGCGATTCGAAACTTCCTTTAGAAGAGCATCCAAACCGCCTTGCAGACCCTGAATCGCATTCTCCAAACCACGAACCCGCGAAGCGATATCCTCGCTCTGCTCTTCTGCAGCTGACACGAAGCCGAAGTGGTCTCGGGCGATAGAGGCAAGGGAAGGGCCGAAAGGCAGGATCGGCTGTTCAGACCCTGAAACAGTAAAGGCTCGTTCCCCGGACTCGTCCTCGTCCTTCGCCACTACAAACTCCTCGTAGTCGGGATTGAGCAAGCCCATCCAGACTCTGACCTTGAAATGGCCATGCGAACAACCGCGATCTGCGGGATCGGCGGCCAGCACCTCGGCGTGACATGGCTTCAGCAGGGCGGCCCGAGGCAAGTAACAGCGCTTGGTGACCCGGTGCCAAGCATGGTGAGGCACCGCAACAAGCAGTTGGCCGTCGACTTCGGCTATAAGGATCAGACTGCATGAGAGAAGCCCTGACTCACCCTGGCAATGAAAAGCAGCAACCTTGTAGCCGAGAGCAGCTCGGGGCGATCGAGATAAGACCAAGGCACGCAGATCGGGGAGCAGAGAGTCGGCTTCCTCCCCAGAGTCCCGTTCCTGGGACTCACGTTCCAAATCCTCACTCGGCATCTATCCCACCAGCTGGCCAATCAAAGCCGGCTGTGCGGAGAACGATGGCAGCCTCCCACTGGGATGGGACTCCAACAAAGATGCTACGGCCCGGATCTGGGCCTCGCTTGCACAAACTCTTGACAGCGCTGAAGGAGCTGAAGATCTTCGGGGATGCGTACTTCTCACCACTGTAAGGGGCCAGGACGATGTACAGGCGGGAGGCTAGTGCAACCTTATCCCTACCCGAGGTTCCGCGATGGCCTCCTGAGTAGGCGCGGCGGAGAAATTGCCCGATCTCTTTAGCCACACTCACACGCTGCGGGTCCTTACCACTCTCAAGGTCGGTAAGTCGCACAGGGCTCGGAGCCGGCAGGGTCGAGGCTGGGGAACGGGAATGCTCTAAGTAACCCGAAGGAACCCGAAGGGGGAGTTGAGGGAGGCACTACCTCAAAGCCTTCCGAGGCTTCGAGAGCAGCAACACGCTCAGTGAGCCGGCTGATCCTTAAGGTCAAGAACTTCAGCTCGCAGCCGGAGAACCTCACTCTCACTCATCCAAGAGCCTATACCAACCTCTAGACAGCCCGAGTTGGCGCCTGGCGACCCTAAGAGCACTAACCCTGAGGATGAAGGCGAGGTCAATGCAGGGGCCTAGCAGCACCCCTATCAGAATCCCGATGAGGACCGAACGCAGGTCGAGGTCCCAAGCAGGCGGATCGAGAAGATCAGGGAGAGGACAGGAGCTCGGAGGCTGAAGGAGAGACGAGTCGACAAGAGAAGACTCGCGGAGGAGCAGGACAAGACCAGTTATTCCCCCGGAAGCACCCGCTAACGTCAGCGGGCCAGCCCTCCTGAGCATGAGCCCATCAACTCGCGACATCACATGAAGCCATGCAAGACATGATGTGCAATCCAACCCGGGCCATGAACGGAGTAACCAAGCTGAGGACTTGAGTGCAGTGAGCGGACAGGGCTTGCCGGCTGCTGCTGTGAGGGAGTTTTGCAACCATGTCCAAGGTGGTGGCTGTGCTGCCACCTTTGTAGACCCAAGTCTGTATAAAAATCTGTTTTTGCATAAAGATGGGTCTTCAAGTGTTTCCGAGCAAAAAACCCACAGTTTGGCCGCGTTAGGCTTGCCTTGTGTGCCTCCGGTAGAGCAGGTCCTTTCCGGGTGTAGGTCGGTGGGTGCCTGGGTTGATGAGGGTGTTGTTGGGATTGCCTCCGTCAGTGGCGCTGAGTCTGAACCCAAACTGAATGGCTCCCTCAAGGCATGCGCTGCAAATGAAGGTGAGGCTAACTGCACTGGCAATCCGGCAGGCTTGCCAAGCTCGGTTTCGTCTTTCACAGTGCACTCGCCTTGTGGTGGTCTTGATGTGAGCCTAGATTGCTGTAAGCCTGCCAAGGATCATCGCAGTTCTTTTGCGAATGGAAGCGAGGATCTGCTTGCTCGGAGTAAGCCGTTAGGTGAACAGCAAGGTGACATGCACACTGAGAATGATAGTGACGGTGGCCTTCAGACAAACAGTTCTCGTTGGGAAAGCCTGCATTACCTGATCCACCAGGCAGGCGATGGCCAAACTGTGCCACCCCCTCTTGCTTCGTCCTTGTTAGCTGCTGCAGAGTGGACTGAAGCCACTTTCCCGGAAGGCACTGTCGGTTATCAGGTGGGTTGGGAGATCTTGGCTGCGCTAGAGGGTGAGGTAGCAGCTTGGAGCAGAGCCGCGTGCTTGACTCATCAAATTTTGCGCTGCCCGAATGTTGCGAGCGACATGTTTGAGACTAGTGGCTCATTGACCCGGGTTTGGCAGCACTCCTTGGGCTCACCTCATGGGGCCCTTACCTTATCCGATCCATGTGAACCGTTTGCTCAGTGCGACGATAAACACCCGAATAAAGAATTGCCCAATCCTCAATTTGTGCAGAGCGGTGGCGGTGTCTCCTTGCAGCCCGATCCCAGTGAATTGCGAAACAATGAGGTGCCCGCCAGTACTCCCAGCAGGTCCGAAAGGCCAGATCTGAAGATTGGCTTCGCAAATGTCACGTCCTTTAACCAAGCTGCTGTGGACTGGCTCGCATCATGCGGCTGTGCTGCGGTAGGTTTGCAGGAAACCCATCTGTAGGCTGGGGGGTTTGGTTTGGGTAGCTAGGAGGCATAGAGGAGCATGGCACAAGCACAGGTTCCTTCACGAAGGGGCCGGTTTCGAGGCGGTAGGTCTGCGCGCTGGGGGCCTAGATTACACGCTCATCGTGCTGTATTTGAAAGACACAGAGGGGCCCACTGGACCCAGAAATACGGAGGTCCTCGCCAACCTTGTACCATACGTGAGATCGCTGTCCGAACCTTGGGTTGTTGGTGGTGATTTCAACTGTAGCCCTGAAGACTTCCTTGATCATAGCACGCTCCAGGTCATGAGAGGGAGACTGGTAGCGACAGGCGAGATCACCTGCACGCAAGGGGTGGGCGCTGAACTCGACTATGTCATAGTTTGCCGAACTTTGGAACCCTATGTTACCTTACAGGTCGGTGTGTACCATGGCGCCCGCATGGGGCGCTGCTCCTAACCATCAAGCAGGCTGGACTCACGGACCCGCAGTGGAGACTGCAGCAATTCCCAAAGCTCACAGGTGATGTATCAAGTAAAACATGGCCGACGGTTGAAGTGCATAGTCCTGAGCTCATGAACCATGTTGGTGACGACCCGGTCTCTGGTAGCCTGGCCACTTGGGCAAAGGCCATGGAAATTTGCAGGGGATCCGAGTTTGGTAGAGGCCAGCGCGTGCAAGCGGTTTTTGGCAGGGTGTCAGAGACCCGGGCTTTGAAGCAAAGCCAGAACACCGCGGCAGGTTGGTGGGGCCGCGCGCGTAGAGGCATTACCAGACTGCAGGCGGGTTTGAGAGGCGAATTGTGGCAGAGCACGCGTGGCAATGCACAGGAGGCTGATGCCTTCTTCTGCACGGGGGATTGGAGCTCAGCGGCCAGGCTCTTTTGCACGCAAGTTTGTGATGCATTCCATGCAAAGCAAGCTGAGGGGCTGCAGCAGCTTGCAGTGCAAGCGCAGGCGCATGAGGCTGAGGCACAAATAACCCAGAGCCGCAACAGTTTGCGGGACTTTCGCAAATGGTTGAAGGCCGGTTCGATGCGGGGCATGCGGCCTCTCTTCAGAGCTTTGTCCAAAGCCGAGTGTGTGCACAGCCGTCCTTTCGCCGATCATCCGGTTGCTGAGCGGGCCAACCTCAGGCGGAAACAGTGGGTAGAGATTTGGGGCGAAGCCGAACATTGTCCATGCCTGAGTGAGACACTGGTTCACAAGGCTAAGAGCTGTCAGCTTCGGCCCATTGCAGGCTCGGAGATCTCATCGGTGATACATAAGGTTGCCGATAAAGCCGGAGGTTTGGATGGCTTAACGTATACGGCCATGAGGAACTTGCCCAGCCAAGCTTATGATTCACTAGCCGCCGTGTTGAACAAAGCAGAAGCCTTAGTCCAAGCCCCGCTGCATTGGACGCAAAACCAGGTTAGCATGATCCCGAAGAAAGAGCACATCGAGAGGCCAATTACATTGACCTCAGTGACATATCGGCTTTGGTGCTTCACGAGGCGATGGGAAGTGCAAAAGTGGTTGGAGGCCACCAAAGTAGACACGCCGTGGGACCGTGCAACACCTGGCAACACCTGCCTGCAGGTGGCAGTCCACCACCTTTTGAAAGGCGAAGTCAGTAGGCACGGTAAGCGAACATATGGTTTGTGTGCTGCTAGACCTTGAAACCTTCTATGATCGAGTGGACTTGGAGGTCTTGGAGCAAAGACTGTTGGATGCCAACTTCCCATCAAATGTGGCGGCCCTGACGCTTCAAACCTACAGGGGAGCCCGACACATTGTCAGTGAGGATATCCTGAGCGAGTCCATCACACCGCAGCGGGGCATCCTAGCAGGTTGCCCTTTTGCCACTGTCATGGCCCGGGTTTTCCTTCAGCCCATCCTCCAGGAAGTCAGCTGTAGCCCAGGGCTCCAAGGCTTAGATACTTGGGTCGATGATATTGGCGCTGACTATGAAAGTTCCTCGCCCATTCTTGTTGCCAAACAAGCACTTTCCGGTTATCGTCAGCTGGCCACCCTTTTGACGCAAAGTGGTCTTAAACTCTCCGAGGAGAAGACTGGTTTCCTGGCGAGCACAACGGAGGCCCGAAAAGCACTGCAGCAGATCACAAAATCTTTCAAAGCATGCGAGATTTGGGGGTTGATTGTGGTCTAGGTAGGGTCAGGCGCGTCAAGGTCCAGACTGGACGACTGCGTAAGGGTAAAAGCCGCAAAACCAAAATGGACAGCCTCAAGCTCTCCAATGAATCCTGTCGCATCCGTTTGTTCAGAGGAAGCATCAGCCCCTCTTTGATGTGGGGCCACCAAGCACAGGGTATGCCTCCCAGTCGGGTAAAGTGGCTTAGGCGTGCGGTGGGGCAGCAGGTAGGTTTGCATAAGCTCGGTTGCCTGGAGGTGGCGCTTGCTGCGATGGAGCATAAGGTAGGAGACCCATGGGCAGATGTCCTCACACAGCAGGTGCAGTCATGGTTCAAAGCGTTGGACAGGTGGGGACCGGACAGGGCGCCCATCGCGCGTGTGTGGGAGCAGACGGCTTCAGATGTCAGTGAAGGCAGGAAAAACTGGCACCATGTCAAAGGGCCGTTGGCGGCTACCGTCGGGCACCTGACAGGAGTTGGATGGAATGTGAACGAGGCCTTTGTCTGGCAGAGGCCAGCCCCACCTCAGCAGTACGACATTCTGGACACTTGTCAGAGACCCTTAGTTTTGCAGGCGTTAAAGGAAGATGTGAGGCAAGCTGGCCGCCGTAGCATTGCGCGCAAAGTGGGTAGTCCGGCACTGGCAGAAGGATTAGATTGGGTTGTAGGCAGGAGACTCCTCGCTTCATACGCAGCTAAAGGTGATACCCTCAAGCAGAAAGGGTTAAAGGCTGTTTGGCAGGGTAGCCTGGTGCATTCTGCAAACAGCTCAGTCAAAATCTGCCCAAAGTGCAATGTTGAAGCGAGTTGGAGACATATCCTCATCGACTGCCAGTGGTGGCGTGACAAAGGCTTCAGCCAGCCTAGTTGGTACTCCCCTGGTGCTGAGCTTGGCTCCAAGTTGTCGTGGTTGAGGGGTTTGCGTAGTGCTGCCAAACTCATCGCACCATCATGCTGCGACTGCACGGGCTTATGGCTGAGTAGCGACACCATTGACGGTCACGGCCTCACCTTTAGTACCGACGCCAGCGGAGGGCCTTTCACCAGCGATGTTAGGCTCCGTAGGGTTGGGGTCAGTGTTGCTGCTTTCAAGTGGGTTAATGGCAAGCCTGAGCGAGTCGCCTCGATTTGTGCGACGCTTCCTGGCCAGCAAACAGTCTTCCGAGGGGAACTGTATGCGGTTCTGCTGCTCCTCCAAAGAAGTACGGGTCCCATTGATTGCACTCTGGACTGCAAAGGGGTCTTTTCCAAGTTGAGGGGTACGTGTCAAGGCAAGTTTCATGCTGAGCTGTGGGAACAAGTGCGTCAGCAGAACCCTCAACGTTTGCGTGCGGTGTGGGTGAACTCGCACCTCAGTGAATCTGAGTTTGTTGACAAGTTTGGTCGTCATCAGGCTTGGAGAAGAGACGTAAATGCGGTTGCAGATAAGCTTTGCCATGACTTTGCCAACAAACTTGTGTGCCATGAATCTGCAAAAGAATTGCACGCCGAGGATGTGCAATTTAAGAATACTCTCGAGACGCTTAGCGGTCGTGCTGCCAAAATCCTTGTGAGTCAAGGTGCGGATGCGCATCCTTGTGTCCAGGCCTTGGAGCGCTTGAAGGCCGCCGCGGGAGTGCCACTCTGGCAGTGCTGATCAGCCAAGACCGTGCAAGAAGCGCGTTGGGGTCAATGTTGGGCATGGCCATACGCAAACCCAGCAGGAGTGGTTCTCCGCCTTAGTGCAAGAAGCCAGTGTGGGAGGCCATAAGGGCCACAAGTGGGAGTGGCAAGGTCTTAACCTAGCGTGCAGCAGGTGCAGCCTCAAGCTTCTTCACAGCAAAAACCGCAAAGTCCTCGAAGCGAGATCAGCCACACCATGTGGCGGTGATGGTCCGGCGAGTTTCGCTGGTGTCCACCAAACGCATGTCATGGCTTTGCTTGGTCAGTTGTGGAAGTGTTCGCATTGTGGTGGCCAGTACTCGTTGACGAGTAACGAAGTCACGGCCAAACTTCGGCAGAAGTGTGCAAAAAGGAAAGACAAGAGGAGCAAGGTCGAGTAGGCAGCCTGGTAGCTGAAGCTGCGAGCTTCTCCAGAGAGCTGAAGAGCAGCTTGCGAGGATTCGCCCTGTGGAAAAAGTCCGCGGAAAAAAAAAATAAAAACCCAGGTTGAACCCAGGTTGAAACCCAGGTTACCCAGGTTCCAAATCCAGGTTTGAAACCTAGGTTCTAATCCAGATTTGGAAGAGCTTCAACGCAGGCCTAGAATTGGCACAGTGGCTCTTGTTGAGACAGCTGACTGCAGAACTGCAACTGCTCAGCAAATTAAGCAAAAACCACAGGCTGCAGATACTCACGCATGAGCAGGCATGCAGGACGAGGAGCGTGCGTCAACAGATGGGGCCACTGTTCGACTCTACGCCCTAAGTCCCAAACCCTAATCCCTGATTTGAACTAAGCCCTGAACCTGAACCCTCAACTCTTCTTAAAGCATTAGGGCACTAAGTCACTAAGTAAATAGGGTTACGAAGAAATCAACCATACTAATTGCCTATAACCCCCATTCAGGCGACTTTTAACCTCACTAAGTCTCCTGATCCCCCTAGTAATTTCTAAACTCTAACTCTGAACGATTGCTCCCGGGTACACAGCTGACAGACTAGGACGATTTGCTATGGACCGTTCTTTTCTGCTGTTTGGAGACTCTGGCATTCGGCTTGGCGATTGACCGTGGAACGTGCGCTCTGCACTACAGAATCCAAAAAAACCGGCCAGACACCCGAGGTGGAACTTACTCGGGCCACACTTGGCACGCTCAAGGCCACAGTTTTGAGTATCCATGTGTTTTACCCACTCTACCTAGCCCACCACCACATCTTTGGAACTGAGGAACTATGACAACCGAACCTGAGACACGATCTGTAATTTTGGCAACACCCACATGTTGAAGAGAGACTTGGAGCTTGTCGGCTCCAGTCTGTCAGCTGTGTACCCGCTACCCATAGAAAAGATGCGTTTCTTTTACGGCCAGAAAAAAATATCTTATCGAAGTTGTGGAAATCTTCTCTGCCTCTAGAAAGTAAGATGTCACGTCTCATTGCGCGATTTCAAGTTTTGGAAGTTTCAAATGGCTTTTGTTTGTGATCAAAATCGCTTTGTGGTCGTTTTTGCAAGATCAACACTTTTGAAAAAATAACATAAAATTTTCAAGAAGATACACACTACTGAAAGATGAGGACCTCCCCATCTACGTCCGCGCCCGCCCTTGGTGGCCTCCACACGGTCCGCCTGCACCTGTGCCTGTCAATGAGCCGCTGGGGGAGCGCATTCATCGGGAGGCCACTGAGTCTTTTCACCGATTGGTCTCGCAGGAGGTATCCTGTGCCGTGGCGGCTGCTCTGGAGCGGCGGGGCCACCCCAGCTCAATACTCTGGCACGCCTCACTGCCTCACTGCGAAGCCTGTTGGCATCCGTGGCGCTCAGCTTGCCCCTCAACCCTACCCTTCGGCCGCATGGCCCACGCACTCCGTGGCCTTGCGCATTCCACCGCCTGGCGGGTCGCTCCATTCAGTCAAATGGTCAAGTCTTGGACATCGTTATTGCGGCTATCAGGGAACGGAACCCCCAGCAGGCACCTGTCTGACGGTGCGCCAGTCTATTTCGGAATGCCTGTTTGGTGTTGATGCCTCTGTGGAGGTGGGACTAGTACAAGATTTTGGCGACAAAGGGATGCAGTGTGCGTTACCAGGGCCAAACTCACTTTATTTCTTACTCTGGCATAACGCCGGTGGGCGACGAGGTATGTCCACAGCCCGCTCGTCAAACCCCAGCAGCCGTCGCAGTGGATTTTCTCCACCAGCCCACGTCTCACAGTGAGTTGCTCTTGTACTATTTCAATCGCCTGTCGGCAGTCGGAGTCCCACACGCAGCAGACTAGCAAGATGAGGCACCAGATCAGCATTTTAGTCCAGTGTTTTTCCGAAGTCGCATGTGTGTTCCGTTGCTTCGGCCTTAAAAGCACGATTTGTTGGCAACGCTTGCTCCGGCCCATACTGCTTTGCAGGCTGAAGGCCTTGAGCCTATCAATCGGGTGTGCCTGAATCTGGCCCTGGTTGCCTCTACACGGTTATTAGCAGATCTCTATCTGTTGATTACAGCCATTCGATACCCACAGTCTAATCTCCTGCTCCCCGCAACAGACTCCTCTCCGTGTCCGGTCACGATTGGGGAGTTGGCAGCGGACACGCGCGCAAGGCGCGCACAGCGGATTGCAGCTGATGGCACACATCAACCTTATACGGCTGCCCAAACAGACATCCACCATTGTACATAAGGGCCTTGTGGTTGAATGGTTTTTGTGTTCTCCTTGTCTTGGCCTAGAATTTGTGCGGCCACCGATTTGCTGTGCAGACGGAGCAGAAAATCACCGTGGTTACGCCAACGGTCGCCGAGGGCACTTCCTTTTCCGATTACATTTCGGGAGGCTGCAGGGCTTCCCCCCCGCCGGGGAGGCTGACTTCTAAAGAGCAGGCCGAGATCCTGTTCAATTTTTTCTATAGCCACCACAATGAGCTCGGCGTGTTCATTGACCTCTTTACCACCACAGTGTGCGCCGGCACCATGGGCGCTGTGGACATCTGTTTGGTGGACAAGGCAGGTCGGTTCACCATGACCGGGGAGGACGCACACCAGCGACTAACAGCCGGCAGCACGAGGCCCACAGGCCCGCTGATCATTGCGTTTCCCTCTCATTGGTGGGGATCATCGCCGCTCTGGAACTCCACGCCGCATTCCACAAGACCATCATTAGTTGGGAGGCTCTCTATCAGTCCTACGGGCTTGCACAGCTTGGACTACAGTGCCAGCCGCGTGATGACTGTGACACGGCTTCGGAGTTCTACGAGAGGTGGTTTGTTAATTGCATACCGCCGCTCTGCGATTCCTGTGCTTTGGTCGCTCATTGTGGAGTGCCCGACCACCCTGTGCAGCTGCTCCTGCGCGGCATGGATTTCGTGAACAGTGGTCCCACCGGGCGACCAATTACAGTGCGCCCCTTCTACTCTGTGCTCGACACCAAGCATCCCATTATTGGGTTGCTGGAGTTTACCAGTCCGCCTCGCATCGGTCTCCACCGCCTCCGTGCTCACAAGGGGGGTGGCTTGCAGCCGCCCAAGCGGGCCTACAGCGCCTTCCTTTCCCAGCACCACCGGTCCCTGATTGGAGCACACGCCACTCGATGCGCATGCGACTGTGTGCCGAGACCAGGCGGCAGCCGCCGACATGCTGGTCGCGGCTGTGCCAGGCGGCCGAGCTCTACCGCTGCGATCGAGTGCAGACGCTCCGCTCCTCTCCTGGTGCATTGCCGAGGACTTGCCGGTTGCTTATGCGCTGCTTACGAAGAACGCTGAACTCGAGCAGCCGGACAGCCGTGGTTACCCTGCCCTGACGCACGCGCTACGAAGGGGTGATGAAGCCATGGCACACTTTGCTCCGGAAAGGAGCCCGCATGAGCTGACGCGACAGGACCGCCTGGGATCTCGAAAATCCCGCCCTTGTACAAGGTCCTCGCTGGATTACATCTACAGCACCGTGGCTGCGTGGCCCCCACCGAGTCACTTTCTGCTGGCGTGGCTTCATCCCGTCTCGACTACGTCGCTGCTGTTTTGGAGACTTACCCCATGATACATGGCCACCAGGGGGCACCTCGGTTGCTTCGTGGCTGGCGGCGCAACACCCGGCGTACCTACTGCTCTGCATTGACGGCTTTGCACGCGCCCAAGACGGCACCCTTCCGGCAGATCTCTTTCCGGGCGTACTCCTGGACGGCACGATGACGTCCCTCCAGATTTTGGCGGCTGCTGACACTTGGGTCGACCTCAGTTCCTTGGCCACACAGTACCTGGCGGCTTGCACCACTTCACCGAGGTGGAATGTCATGGCACCTTTTCGGACGTAAAGGCGGCCTTCTCACCATTGCGACTGACACGGTTTCTCTCAGACACCTTTTATGCGCCGGCCGCTGTCCTCAGGGACGTGTAATAAGCCTTTTTTTCAGCGCCCTCCTCATGAAGATGCGGCATGAGCTCCTCGGTAATGAACGGAAGCTGAATACCGGGTCCAATGCCTTGCTCGATGAAAGTCTGAGGAGCCGCTGCTCTCCAGTCGTCCTGTCCAAGCGTTAAAACCCAAACGCGCCTTGAGGCACACTTCTAGGTTTAGTAAAAGGAGGTGCAAGCCGACTGACTGACTAGGCTACAGCAGTGAAAGCTAACAGCACTTTTACACCCTTCTTCGCAACCAACTGTTCACCACGCGCTTGTCACGCAGTGCAAGTCTTGAGCCAAATGAAACGGGGCGCGGACAGAGACTTCAGCACACTCACTTCCGAGGTAAGTCCTAAGGACTCCTAACGGCTTCTCTGCACTGGCAACTCTGCTACGCGGCCCAGGTGTTCCCCGGACTTCGTCTAGAAGTCCGTTCTCACAGCAAACAAACTGAAAACACTCTGATGTTCATCATGCTTCAGGAAAGTTCAGGGAAACACCATTCTTCGTGAAAACTCGTGAGGGAAAACTCCGGTTGGACACGCTTCTGACACTGATCACTTTCACCGCAAGGTGAGACAGGAAGCGTGAGCGCAGCGACCGACAGACAGACAACTTTTCCCTACTCCTACCGTTCACACCTACACCTAAGGTTCTCTAAAACTCACAAAGGAGAAAACAGAAAGTATTCCTGACCTTGGCGAGACACAGGGGCACCATTATAGGATTGAAAATCAACTCCCCCTCATGAACCTGTCGTCGAGAAAAGGTACCGGTCCAGTGGCTGCTGTTGCGTATTGGGCTCGTAGATCTTCTCACGGTCCACGATAGTCTTATGGCTCTTCCAAAAACGGCTGCGGCTGTACAAAGAGGCGTCAGCACCTACCAAGCACTCAAAGCCCTAAGAGCTGTGTGAGCAAAAGCTTCGGGGTAGTGCTGGGTGTTCTTCAGAACGAACATCTTACTATGCTCGTGGTTTCCAGGGCACTTTAATTTATCCATGCAGTGAATGAGAACATGACTGTTCGAGCACAACCTCCAAACCTTCTTCACAGGAAGTGCGTCCATTCCAACCATACCGCAGGCGCAGCCATGCACAAGAGCGGTCTCATGCGGATTGATCTTAAGGAATGACTTCGTAGCGGACCATCCCCAGTAAGCACAACGTTGCGGCCACTCAATGACCCAAGTTGCCGAATCAGATGTGTTGACTAGCTTCAAGAAGCTCTTCCAGAGCTTTCGATGGACTGTGAAAAGTCCTTTCATCCTTTCATCATAGTGATCTGCAGATCGAGCTTGGTGATACCGCTGCCAAGGCGAACCACCGGTACAGGGCGTCGAAGCCCACACAACAACATGCATGTTCCGACGGTGCGCCGAACGAAGCGCATGCTCAATGAGCTCGATGGTCTCCGAAAGAGTCCCATCCGTTTCTTCCGTCACGGGAATAGCATGGATGCCATAATGGCTAGCTAGCTTAGTCAACCAGGCTTCTCCAGAGGTGCAGAACTCGACCATCACAATGTAATGCGGTGTCTGCAACCGACAACGACCAACCAACACACTCCAAGGATCATCGACGCTTGCAGAAAACAGACCCTTGAACGCGGCAAACACAAGGCAACGGACCGGGGGCGCATCACCTCGAAGATAGTCACTACGGGTGAGACGTTCCTCAAGACACAACTGTCCTATATGATACCAAGGTTGCGCGACACTCAAGTTCTTTGTTTGCAAGTCGGCGACGTTATCCGTTCCTGGGACGTGTGTAACCAGGATCTCGCCGTTCTCAACCTTATCCTGCAAGTAGCTTTTTTGACTTTGATGCGCAATCGCTCGAGAGCGATTAAGCGAAGGGCATCGGTATCAGAGTGTATTACTCTAATGCCGCGGCAGCTACTGGGCTGCAGATCATTGTTGGATCTTCCCAAAGGCTAAGGACCCCGCTGCGTACAGCCAAGCAGGTCCGACAACTAAGACTGTACAACTAGTTTGACGAGTGAAGGCTAAAGGAGATGCAACGTTTGTGTAACAGCAACTCCACAACTAAGCAAAAGCGTGACTGGTTTTCAGTCGGCGCGCTGCAAGAAAATGATGTATGCGTTTTGCTGGATCCCCACAAGCTCCGAGGACTTTACTTTGCGAGCCGTGGTGTTATCATCAGTGTAGAAGGACTGCGCAAGCACGCCATTCGGTGGCATCAAAATTGAGCGATAGTGTCCGCTGTCGGGTGTGGGACCGTGATGAACTGCACAAGCTCTCACAAAGTACTTAACGAAGTACACATCTTGCAGATTGTCGCGAAAAGTAGGAATGTGCACTAAGGGCTCCAGGCAAAGCTTGAAGTCGGTCTTAATGCAAGCTCCATCATTCGTGCTGTCAAAACGGCCCACTTGAATCGCACAAAACTTTGGCGGCTTCAGGAGCGCCTGTGGTTCCGCCTGTTGATGCCAGCACGATAGCAAGTCTTGCAAGCAGCACTCCGAACACGGTGTGGGATCATCAGCGGCTGAGGCGGGCCTGTTTGCAAGCAGCATAGGCCACGTGTGGCCCTCATCCACAAGCCACGATGGGGCGCGGACCCCGCAGTCCCCCACGAACCGTCGATCAATGAAGCATTGAGCTGTGGACGCATGTAGAGCAAAAACTCCGCAATGTCATGCTGCCTCCTAGGTGCTCGCCAGGTACGAGTGGCACTAATCCAGGGCAGCACAGACCAAATGTCAACTGCCCTGCCAGCCTGAACCAAGGATCGCAGCGATGATCCCAGAGGACCTTCGAAGAGTTGGCATCCGAGAAAGGTTTCAGTCCACACAAGGCTCAAAAGTAAGGAATTGGCATAACAGCTGTTGCGACCTTGATTGAGAAGCTTCCAAGCTTTTATTTTAGAGCGTACCGCATCTGCCTCAATCTGAGTGTGGCGCCCACCCGGAGCCACCGGAGAGGGGAAGTCCACTGGGGAGGAGCCTCCTACGCACTGCCCTGCCGTACTCACCAATTCAGCTTTTTGGCCATGGGTTGCAACTCCAGTCGCTCGCGACGCATTGTCATGCCGATAAGCTGAAGACATCCCGCTCCGCACAAGTCCTGAAGAGCCTGAAACAATTGATGCGATGTCTGGCCCTGAAGGGAGATCTGCAACAGGAATGGCATCGTGTTCTCCACATTCTCTGTTAGCTTGCGAGTCGCTGCAAAGCGGTGGATCATGTGGTCCATGTTCAATGCTCGAAGGATCGACGTGATGTGCTGCACCAGGGAGTCGTGTGGGACCTGTCGAACTGGATCCTCCGGGATGAGGCTCTCGTGAGTCTGTGACCACTTCAGATACTGCCATTGCATACCGTCCCGGCTGAGCCAACCGTGCTTGCGGGCTGTGGCGATGTGGCCCTCGTTCATATGCTCCATTCGATCCTTCAGGACAGTGAAGACCTTCATGAGGAGAGCCTGGCGCAATGTAAGATTCTGAAGGGTACCCTGGGTCTTCGCCTCGTTCCAAAGCTTGCTCGCTTGAAACACCTCTCTCAGGATGCCGTCCGGGCCCGACCTCATGTGGAGAACGAACCCTCGATCCACACGAAGAGCTGCTAGCTCCCACTCGTGTCGCACCAGCAGCTGCCGAAGCAGCTGGATCTCCTGCTGTGTCACATACATGTCCGAGTAGCCCTGATAGCCTTGGTAGCTCGGATAGCTCGGATGCCACGACGTTGGTGCCAGCTGCCACGAGGGATCCTGTGACGACTGCCACGGTGTCTGATGAGTGCCCTTTCCTTTGCCCTTGTTCGGGCCCTTTCCCCAATATCCGCCGTGCCCTCCTTTGACCCTTGCCCTGATGCTTCAGCTTTTGGCTCTGGTTTTGGCTTAGCGGAGCCCCTCTTCGCTTTGGCGGCATCGGGTGTGCCGACGGCGGGTGGCGGAAGGACGGGAACGGGCTCGGCAGCGGTTGGTTGAACACCGACTCGAACTCCATCAGAGGCGATGGCTCGGGTTCCATGCTCATCTCGGAAAACATAGCCGTGGTGAGCAGCTAGCAGCCGCGCAGCAAAGAGCACAGCGCAGGCTTCGCGGTGGCGGATTCGTGCCCCCTTCCAAGCAATGCCACACAACTGGCACGGGGATTGGATAAAGTAAGACGACTTACGACAGACTTCAATGACCTCTTGAATCAAGTCCTGTTGGTCCCCATGTTTTGTGCGCATATGCTTCTTGACTTGACCACTACTGTTGGCAACCCAAAGGTGACAAAGCGGGCAGTGTGCCAGTGCAACTTCCCTAAATCCTGGGGATTGAGCCAATTGCAGCCAGCCCCCCTCGCTGAGATGTTGGAGCGTGCTCGGCCTGTCCCTGAGCGGAGTGCTTTCTGTGCTCGCTTCTTTCGGGAGCGGCGGATGCTGTCCGTAATCCCTGCTATTGTTCGTGTATCCGTGCAGGACAGGGCATGCTTGGGCCTCGATATGTCTACGAAACTGAGGTATGCCAGAGAAGGACTTACGACAGTGTTTGCAAGTGGGCATGCCCGCGTACGAATGTTCTTCGAACTTGAACGGTGCAGCTGTGGCCATGGCAAGCTCCCTCTCAGAAAGGCCGTGAATCGAGGTCATATGGTACCTCAAGGCCGTGGTGTCAGCAGCTTGGTAGTCACAGACAGGACACACCAGGTCAGCATGGGCACCCGTTTCCATCGGAGCCGGAGGTATCGTCTCAGTGGGGGTCGGGACCTCAGCATGTGTTGTGTTTAGCACGGCTACCGGGTCCTCCGGGCTATTCTGAGCTGCAGGCTCAGGTGGGCAGTTGTCCTCCTGTGTCACAGCAGACAGCACAGCCGGCGGTGTCACCGCAACGGCTGGTTGGGAGGGAGCAGGGGACTTCCTACCTGGCACTTCAAGTGAGCTCCTAACAGCCTCCCAAACCTGTGTCAGGCCCTGTGGCTGCAATGCGAAGACCTGTGATTGACTAGTGCGTTCATGTCTGGCCTTTGCCTTGTCCAGCAGCATATCCGCAGGGTGTGGCAGCTCCAGCCTGAGCAGAAGGGCCGAGGTGGTTTCCTTGCTGATGTGAGACGGCGAGTTGGCCATAGCTCTCAAGTGTCGCACTGCCGTGGCATAAAGCTGACGGCGTCCAACGATGTCGAGGCCTGTGCAATCAATGCCGTAGCACATCGTGGTCCACACCACTGCCCTCCACAAGCGAACCCTGCAGCGCAGAGAAAGTCTACTGGTGCGCTTAGTGGCCACCTGGATCCTCGCGAAACTGGCCTGGGCGCAACGTGTTCGATATGCAGCCGTCTCGCGTTCCAAATGGTTATAAGACAACATTACTCCTAGGTATTTGTGCTTGGACTTGACAGGAAGCAATACATGATGCCCCTGACACGGAATTCTGGCGCACAGTCCCAGCTCGGGGTCGTGCGTTGTGTGCTTTTTCCAGAGCGACACATGCTTGGCACCTGCAAGCTTGATGAGGATCACCGATTTCTCTGTATTGGCACACAGGTTGTGTGCCTTCAAGAAGTCGAGTAGGAAGGCAACCTGGGTCAATGCCATGGACAGGTGCTCTTTGCATTGTATCTCCCATTGGCCCAGAGTGTCATCTGCGAACAGAGTGAGCAGGGGACGCAGCTCTCCTTGATCAAGTAACGGGCCTAGTTTGGCCATCAGATAGCCAGTGATGCAAGCCCAAATGATAGGGGCCAAACGGCATCCTTGTCGGAGGCCGCGTCCTGTCGCGGTGGACAGGGCCTCTCCCGAGCAAGAAGTATAGCTAACACGCATGGCTTCGTGTATGCCGACAATGACCTCGACCAGAGAAGTGGGCACGCCAGCCCACTCCAACGACTTAGCGATAAGACACCGGTCGATGGAATCGAAGGCCCTACGTAAGTCAATGCTCAAAGTAAGGCTGCCGCGGATCTCGTGCTGAGGTATACCTGCACGCCTGTGGTGGATCGTGTACTGTTGACCGACCCGTTGCCTAGTCTGGTGGATGTGCCACACAGCCCGATCAACCGCATCCGCTGTTGAACGCCCTACTAAGTATGCAAATTGTGGAGTGTCCGCCAGCTTGTGTGCGATGGTGTCCCTAACCCGGTACATGAGCATGCCAGCGAAGGATTTACCAAGAGGATGCAATAAGGAGATGGGGCGGAGCTTGGTCACAGCGTCAAGTTTCTGATCTGTTTTGGGTAAGAGACACAGAAATGAGATCGCCCATTCAAGTGGCCACTGCTGCCTAAACGATCCTGCTTGCAAGCCACACTTCAAGAGCCGAGCCGTGCACGAACTGACTGTGTCAGCACACCAGCGCCAGAGTGGGGCAGGGGCACAGTGGGCAGGCAAGGCTTTATGCAACGGAAGTTCAGAAAGAGCGGCCTGGAATTCCATTTCCTCGAAGTGGAATGGCTGCGTCAGCCAGGAGTCCTCCGTGGCAGAAGCTGAAGCAAATACTTCCGAGTAGTGAGCAAGTATGTGTTCCGCCTCCTTTCGGGGGCCAAGCAGTCGGCCATGCTCGTCTCTCAACTGCAGTTTCCTCCGTCGGAGCTTTGGTGCAATGCGACGAATGATTTGATACAATGCTCCGGGGTTTCCTCGGGTGCTCGCACTCTCAGCATCAAGAAGTTGTTGCTGAAGCCTGGCTTGTTTGGCAGCCCGCACACGCTGCTGAATAGTGCGGCGAATGGCCTGGTATCGGGAGATGTGGTGCCATCGGGCCATCCACGACCTAGCTTGTGTGGCTCTGGTTCTATGGTGCCACATATTCGCAAGACAACAGTCCTTGGCATGGACCGTACTCTGTCGCCGAACGGGCCCGAAGACCTGGGACCAGGACTGAGTAAGTGCAGTGTTGATTCCTTCCATGTCGACACACTGGTCAAGTGCCTGTGCCACCAACTGTTGGAACTGCTGTGCCTTGACAGGCTGTTGGTTCAAGGCCAGTGAAGCAGAGTCAGGTGTGAGGCGTTGTCCCCGCATTTGGTGTCGTGGCAACCGAGGGCACGGCAAGCGTGCCCGCAGTGGGTAATGCCACATGCCCTCAATGGGGAGAAGCGGGAAGTCTCGTAGAAGCTGGGCACAGCGACTGCCGTCATCCGCCTGAGATCGGCGCATGATGATAAAGTCGATCTGCGATCCCTGGACAGGCTTTTGCGACGCGTTGATGTATGTGCTGCAGGCCATGCCCGACTTGCCAAAGCTATTGAGTACTTGCAAGTCCTCATTCTTCAAGATATCAAGAAATTCATCCGAGTCAGCTGCCATGGGCGGAAGTTCACGGTGCCCCGCACGGACGTTGCGACGGTAGCCCTTTCCAACAAAAGGCAGACATCCATTGGCAGGGCAGTTGAAGTCACCTGCCAACACAAGTTGGGACCGGGCAGAGGTCCCATGCACAAATTGCTGAATCCTGCGCCAAACCGTGGCACGCTTAGAGAGCAGCAGCTCTTTTGCGGCAGTGCTGAGGTCACTTCGCCATGAGTGTTGGTAGACTGCTAGCAAGTTGGTACACGGCTCCGTTGCCAGCCTGACGTGGAGAAGGCGGCCCGGCTGAATTTCATCATACCTGATAAGGTTCGATTGGCACACTTGCTTGGATATTATCACCAACAGGCCCCCCTCTTTATTGCGGTTCGTGCCTGAGTGTACATAGGAGAACAGATCGTCCTCCCACTCACTGGAGCTTTTCCAGAATGTCTCCTGGATGATGGTGATCCCTGGACGTGCCTGTGGGGTCTGCATGTGGAGCCACTGCTTTAACTCGGCATACCTGGCCGAGGTGAGGCCTCCACAGTTCCAGCTAAGTACATCGATGGTGGGTCTGGCCTCCGTGGCTGCCTGGGAAACCTTGGTGTCAGCTCGATCCTTAAGATCGGCTCTTCCAGTTAGCCAGTGACCTCTGTACATGACCCCGCCCGCCGGGCTTTTCTGGGCCCGGGCGAGTGCTCGTCGGTAGGCGCGTTTGCGCGCTGGTTGCCATTTGCCTGGGGCATTTGCTACCCCATCCCCGTGTTTAACGTCCCCTGCAGACTGGGAAGTTGACGGAAGCATCGAAGACGCTCCTGGCGCGTAGCGGGTACTAGAGGCGCCAACCCTCACTCCAGACACTACGATCATGCTGGCCCAATGTATAACGAGCACAAGGTAAAGAAATGGGCGCAATGAGATCGACTTAATGTAGTGCCTCCCGGACTTGGGACCGGGTCTAGTGCGATTCTGATAATAGGGCTTATGCTCTATGGGGAGAGACAATGCTTCCTTGTCGTGGTTTCTGAATGTGACACGGTGTGTAGGCTCACAATGTGACTCTCTGCCTGCACTCATGCTAGCCGGTACTTCCATTGAGCTTGCTGGCTGTTGCAACCAAGGGCAGGGCCAGTCAGCCAGCTTCCGGAAACGGATCCAGGCATGCCTCCAGGATGAGGTCTCCTGGTAGCACCAGGTACGGCCGTACCCGGGTGGATGTGCCGTTCGGATTGGGGCTCGGACTTTTCGGCGTCGGCCGGTGGTTGACGCACTCATGTAGCAGTGCAAAGTGGCATTTGCATCGTAACGATGCACGTACCAGCATCTTGGCGCACGCTCTGGCCGGCCTGCCTCGTGTCCCGTGGCCCGTGTCCCGTGTCCTGAAGCAGCAATGTTTTGGCATAAGAGCAGAGACAACAGGGCGAGGCCCCGGCGTCGTGCCGTGGCTCTGTGGCGGCTCTTCTGCACTGCAGTTCTTCGGCGATTGCACTGCCGACGTGGGTTCTGATGCAATCTCAGAGCTACCAGGTAGAGAAGCACACTCGCAGTCAGAGCGGGAGTCCATGTCCACTCCAGGGTCCCTCGAAGGAGACCTCGGGTCTGGTGGCATAGATGCCGCCTCAGTGCGGGTGCCAGGTCCTTCAGTGCTGCTGCTGCTTTCGCAGCTGCTGTCGCTGGTGCTGGATCGGGCGACCCTGTTGGCGCGGTTGCGTCTCCCATGTGTGTCACGAGTGGCTGTCTGCTTGGGTTTGGGCTTTGCTTTGGATCGCTGCTTGGCTCTTGGTTTACTTGTGGTGGCCTTGGCAGAGCTCCGGACCATGATGTCGAGGTGCCCCAGAAAGTGATCCACAACCTAGAGAGGTCAATGCATGGAGCCGTGATGGGTAGTGCGGTGGTTGCAGAGAATCGAGATTCGCACACGGCTCTCAGCATGCGAAAACCTGACAAGAGGCCGGCCGAATTGCCTGGTTGGTAATGTGAAAGCGGTGCTGAGGTATCGACTGGAGCACACATCTCCCAGCCGCCCCGCCCACAGGTCCCTGATGAGCCCCAGAGGACTGTGTAGAGTCTTCATGTGTCCCAAAGTCCTGTAGACACACTCCCCACGGAAGAGTCCGACCTGCAGGTGGTACATACCCTATTGCTCGAGCGGCTGTCACGTGTTTTCCTGCCGCAACATGTTGTTGTGTGCTGCGTGGCCGGATTCGCAAGCACCTCAGACATGCGATGTAAGCATTTGTGCAAGCTGACCGACACAATGCAAGAGCATCTATGTATGCTGCAGCCGTCTTCCCGCACTGGTTCGGTCTGCCCCTCTGCTGATCTGAGACCAGCTGTGGGCGATAAACTTCACAGGGCAGAGGCTCAAAGGTAACATAGGCACTGTCACTGGAAGTGGCTTGGTGCTTGCAGCCCTTGGCCTTCTTGTCCATGCTATGCTCACCGATCCCCGCAATAGTCTCTTCGATAGAAACAGCAGTCGAGCTATCTCGCTTCAATGTGGGTATCGCATGTGTCCGGTGTTGAAGCAGTGAATCAGTACTCTCGGGATACTGCAGCACTCGATGTCTAGGCAAGGGAGGCTTCGGTGGTTGTCGCAACGGTGGCCCCGGGGCAGCTTTGGCTTTGGCCGTCTGCTTGATGATGAATCGTTCCCGGCGGCCCGGTCTGCAAGCCGATCTCTTCTGCCGTGAGTCACTGCTATGAGCGCCCATGTGGAGAAATGTGTTGTGCTCTGAAAGAGACACTGGACCGTAGCTAGCTACGGCGGCTATGCGTCCCTCGAGCGAAAACTTACCAGAGAGAGGCATGGCAAGACCAGTAGCAGTGGCTGAGTGCATGTGACTGCTGAGCAACGGTCTGGTGCAGTGGCCTGCACGGCACCCTCGTTGATGATTCCTGCAGGTCAAGAGGCGTATATGAACAGGTGCAGGTACAGCATCACCAGTGCAGAACCCTACACGACAACACATGCGAGTGTCAGAGTGCACGAAGCCTTCTGTACATCCAGGCTCGTTCCGTCGAGAGACCTGAGGAAGCGCGAGGCGGGTACACCCAGCACTCACCGAACCGGCACACCTCGCCTGGCTTAGGCAATGAGCAGCTTGTACTTGTTGCCCTGGCAGCGTGGGTGCACCACAGCCACCAGACAGGATCACTGGACTCACTGGCATGATGAAGGAACAACCCAGGCCTATAGAAGCAGCATACTGGTACCTGCGGGCTATGCATTCTGCAACGTACTGGGGCCGGGAGTTAGAAGAGGACATTGGGCACTCCACTGCAGCAGTTCGCAAAGGGGAGCATGAAAGAACCTCTAGCCACATGTTGTGAAAATGCATATCCCTGATTGGCTGAACCCAAGCTCCTGACCATGTCACCAGCTTGCCGAGTACATTGGACCTGGCAGTGTGGATGCTTAACAGCGTGGTGTCACCACAACTGTGTCTGGAACAGGGGACTGACCCATCATTCCAAGCGAAGACTCCTCGTGGTCCCAGGGACCTGCAAAGGGGATTGAGTCTCGGCGTGGAGGCACCACAGCCCTGACTGAGGTCGCAGCAAGCAGTAGCTAAAGTAAGCCAGCCACCTGTAACAGGATAGTTCTCGTGACAAGGCATGTGTGAGGTCAGCTCAACACTGCAGCAAAGCGGTCGAATGTGTGTCCCAACATGATGCTGTGAAAACTGCAGATGTGGCCCGGGCCTCTCGCAACAGGGCCGGGTAACTTGTTTGAACCATTGCAAGCAGAAGGGAGCGTTCCCTAGGGAACAGCAGGTCGCATGCTCGTAGCAGAACTTGCCTCGGGCAGCTGCCTCGTAGCAGCTCTTTAGCCAGGTCTGTTCCATATCTGTACTGGCTCGTTGTTGCAAGCTGCAGTGTGTCCGCAACCAAGTCCAATGCATATGCTCGAATGTGCGTGGAAGTATCAATACCCGTTGCAGGCGCTTCCCGGTCGGCCGAGCTATCGCATGATCCAATGGATCCTGTAGGGCTAAGAAAATATCGCCGAGGAAAATCGATCGACGAGCTTCGAATGGTGTGTGAGCTGCTCGAGCTGCTCGTTCGTCTCTTCTCTCTCCGACGCCTCCGTTTTGCTCGGACCCGAATACGCCTTCCAGGCGGCATTCTCCAGAAAAGCAAAAGCAAATCTCGCAGGAAATTGCCAGGAAAAGAGCGCAGCAAAGAGCCAATCGGAAAACCATGCAGCGAAAACTACGGCCAACTTGTTGAAGGTTCGAGGGCCTAAAAGCCAGTCTAGAGAGCCTTTTACCGTTGATGTCGAGCCCCAGAAAAGATTTCGGCCACGACGGCCCCGAATTTGAGCGCCCCATAGAGCGCTTGAGCACTAGAGGAGCTTCCTGCAAGTAGCAAAGACGAAGGTCCACGTGACGCATCCTTCTCAGGAAGCCGGACATCATACTGACCTGGCGAGCGGAAGAGCTGTCCGTAGGCAGGTATAGGGGTTGCGCAACGCTTTCGAAAAGGTGGCCCAAAAGCTGCCCCAATCCTACAAGCTCGCGCGCCATCTCAACCATAGCGAAAAGCTCAGACTCCGCACTGGAGAGTGCTACGATAGGCTGGAGCCTCGAGTATATAAGTCTTGATACAATTCCCATTCAGATAAATCACTCCTCCGCTGGTGCTCTTCCGTCCAGTAGAGCGTTCAGAGGCCCAATTAGCGTCGCTGAATCCAACGAGGGTTGCAGTCCCAGGTTGAGCTTTGGAGTCCTTCTGAAAGACCTGAACAAGATCGGGAACCTCCAAAAGCCAACGGAGCACTTTACGCATACAATCCTCATGCACAGCGCGCGGACAGGCTTGACCTCTAGACAGCATGGAGTGAAAATAACACAAATCCCCCCTGGTTTGCACAAGCCAGCCTAGTTTCCCTAGGGTGCTTCTAAAGCGGCTCGCGGCTTCAGGGGAGAGCTCTTCGGAGGGCTTCTCGGGGTCTTCCTTGTCAAGGATCGATCGGAGGTCTGGTGGTGCAGTGCAGGGCTTCATCTTCCTGCGGTTCTCCTGGCTCCACCCAAAAGCCTCGAAGATCGAATCGACGTATTCTTTCTTCACAGCCAACAAGATCTCATGGCCACGCTTGATTATTTCACGGCCTAGGAATCCGATCCTGCCGTCCTCATCCAAGCGTCCAGTCAACTTGACCTTAAGACGGCCCATGAGGAAGTCTAGAAGCTGTTGGTTTGCCTCTTTCGTTCTTGTGGCTAGCAAGATGTCGTCGACGTACACAAGACAAAGCACAAGGATGTCTCCCCAATACCCTTTGTACAACGTAGGTTCAATAAGAGAAGGAAACAATCCCAACTCAGCAAGAAGTCCAGCAAGATGCTTCTGCCACGAAAGGCCTGCCGATCTCAAGCCATATATGGCTTTCTCCAGGATGACGTAAACCTTAGAGCCATCAAGGTTCTGAAAGCATCCCGGCAACTCAAGCACGGTATCAAGAACCAACTTGGCATACAAGAAGGCAGTCGAAACGTCAAGTCCCCAAAGGACAAGCGTATCCTGGACAACACGACAGATGAAAGCCTTGAAGGCCTCCACAGAAGCAGTCTGGCTCGCAATGCCCAAGTCAAGCGCCGAAGGTTGATTGAAAGCAAAGTCTTTTGCAACAAGGCGCGCACGCACAATGTGCTGATCGTCAACATCAACCTTGTCAGTGAAGACAAAACGCGACTTAATGATCTTGGCACCTGTCTCCTGGCAGTGGGTCTTAATCTCATCATAGGTGCGGGCGTTGCCGACACCCAAGTTGTGCATAGCAGACACCTCTTTCTGCATGCCAA